CTCCTCCTAATTGCGCTCGAATTGCGCTCCTGTCGATTGCGCTCCTCTTGATTGCGCTCCTCTCGATTGCACTCGTCTTGATTGTGCTCCTGTCGATATAGCTCCTCTCTCCTGCTCTCCTCTCGATTGCGCTCCTGTCGATTGAGCTCCTCTTTGCTGCTCTTCTCTTGATTGCGCTCCTCTCCATTGCGCTCCTCTCCAATGAGCTCCTGTTGATTGCGCTCCTCTCGATAGAGTTCCTTTCGATTGCACTGCTCTTGATTGTGCTGCTCCAGCAGAGTGAGCACTCCTCTCGGATGCTCTGATCTCAGTTGCGCTCCTGTCAAATGCGCTCCTCTTGATTGCGCTCTTTTCGATTGCGCTCCTCTCTCTTGCTCTGCTCTCGATTGCGCTCCTGTCGATCGTTCTACTCTCTCTTGCGATCCTTTTGAATGCACTACTCTCTCTTGCTCTGCTCGTGATTGCGCTCCTCTCGATTGTGCTGCTGCAGCAGAGTGAGCGCTCCTCTCGAATGCTCTGATCTCAGTTGTGCTCCTGTCGATTGCGCTCCTCTTAATTGAGCTCCTGTCAATTGCACTCCTGTCAATTGCGCTCCTCTTAATTGCGCTCGATTTGCGCTCCTGTCAATTGCGCTGCTCTAGCAGAGTGTTTGCTGCTTCGATTGTGCTTCTCCAGCAGAGTGAGCCCTCCTGTCGATTGCGATCCTCTTAATTGCACTCGCTTTGATTGCGCTGCTGCAGCAGAGTGAGCACTCCTGTCGATTGCGCTCCTCTCTGCTGCTCTTCACTCGATTGCGCTCCTGTCAATTGCGCTCCTCTCCAATGAGCTCCTGTCGATTGCGCTCCTCTTGATTGCGCTCAGATTGTGTTGCTCCAGCAGAGTGTGCGTTGCTCCAGCTGTGAGTGCGTTGCTCCAGCTGTGCGTTGCTCAATTTGCGCTGCTCCAGCGAAAATAAATTTGTTTGCGTTGCAGCACTTGAGCAGTGTAAATTTCGAGTGCGTTGGGGGTCAACGCAGTCGCGTGAATTTCGAATTTGGCGGAGCGCAATTGTGCGTTGCCCGCAAGCAAGACACACCGGCTAGGGCTAGGGCTAGGCGCAAGACCCCTGACAAAGTGGTGATTATGTTGTGCAGTGATGATGAGAAGTAGTGGCAGCAAGAACAAAGGCCTAAGAGTGCAAAGGAGGCTCATGATGTCGACAAAGGAGTTGTAAGGCTGAGTAGTTGTGGGGTGTAAGTGCAAGTGTTGTCCTGGAGCTCTGCATTGCTCTCAAGCAGTGCATTGCTCTAGAGCTGTGTGCTGCTCAGATTGTGTTGCTCCAGCAGAGTGTGCGTTGCTCCAGCTGTGAGTGCATTGCTCCAGCTGTGAGTGCGTTGCTCTCGAACAGTGTGTTGTTCTCGAGCAGTGCGTTGCTCTTGAGCTGTGCGTTGCTCTCGAACAGTGTGTTGCTCTCAAACAGTGCATTGCTCTCGAGCTGTGCGCTGCTCAGATTGTGTTGCTCCAGCAGAGTGTGCATTGCTCCAGCTGTGAGTGCGTTGCTCCAGCTGTGAGTGCATTGCTCCAGCTGTGCGTTGCTCAATTTGCGCTGCTCCAGCGAAAATAAATTTGTTTGCGTTGCAGCACTTGAGCAGTGTAAATTTCGAGTGCGTTGGGGGTCAACGCAGTCGCATGAATTTCGAATTTGGCGGAGCGCAATTGTGCGTTGCCCGCAAGCAAGACACACCGGCTAGGGCTAGGGCTAGGGTTTGCTGGGGTTCACAGAGGTTGAGGTACATTGAACATAGATGTACTGGGGTTTACCAAGGCTTACCAAAGTTTGCCTAGCTTCATCAAAGTTTACCTAGCTTCACCAACATTTGCCTGGCTTCATCAACATTTACCTAGGTTCATTCATGTTAACCTAGGTTCATTGAAGTTTTCCTAGGTTCATTGAAGTTTACCCCAGTTCATTGAAGTTTACCCAGCTTCATTGAAGTTTACCTAGGTTCACCAAAGTTCAAACCTAGTGACCAAACTTTGATGGCCCATATCTCAGCCACCGCGGAACAGGGTACTGTGAGACTTTGCATACACATAGTCCTAGGGTATCCCTACATATCTCATTAGTACAGATTTCATGTTTCCAAGGGTCTCGCCGGGAACACCCTTGTAACCCTAACCCTAACCAGAGGATGCATCAAGTTCAAAATTAGTTGGATTTTCCATCTGCACGTCCTCTGGCTCTGATGCCTGTGCCTGTGCCTCTGCCTTGGCCATCACATAGTCCAAGTTATCCTCCACAAGTGCTAGAGGCAATTCCTCTGAGTCTGCCATGCTAGGCTCAGCCTCTGGAATTGAATTCAAATTTGAATTCTCCTCTGCAAGGATGGCAAGATCCAACATGTCCAGGAAAGATTCACACTGCATGTCTGCTGCAGGCCCAGGCTCTGGACTTACCATATCATGAGATTGCTGAGTTGAAATTGCAGGCATAGGTTGTGCCTGAGTCTGCTGTGTGTTCTCACCTTGGCATTTGCAGATGCCTTGGTGTTTGCATAGTGCTGCCACATTCATGACCACCTGTCTGCAAAAGCATGCAACAAGTCCAACAGCAGCTGCAGCATCCTGACTGACTGCAATGCCCTTGTGCACCTTACACAAATGGTTGGTGATGTTGCTTTCAACATAAGCATAGCTGCACACCAGACAGGTGATTGGTGGCATGGCTGGAATAGTAGTTGACAAGTGTGTGGTAGACTGTGTTCCTGTGTTGCTGCAACATCAAATTAGAATTGGACTGTCTTCCAGACTGTAGTTGACTGTCTTCCATTTCAATTGGACTGTCTTTGATCTGTAGCTGACCATCTTTGATCTGTAGCTGACCATCTTTGATCTGTAGCTGACTGTCTTCCCAGCTCAGCACACACAGAAAATCAACTTTGTATTGGACCTTTGAAATGGACCATCTTAAATTTTGAAGTGGACCATCTTCCAGCAGGGCAAGATGTGTCTGCCCCAAGGCCTGAATTTTGAAGTGGACCATCTTGAATTTTGAAGTGGACCATCTTGAATTTTGAAATGGACCATCTTGAATTTTGTATTGGACTGTCTTGAATTTTGAAATGGACCATCTTGAATTTTGAAGTGGACTGTCTTGAATTTTGAAATGGATTGTCTTCGAGGAGTGCAAGATGTGTCTGCCTCACAGCTGTACACCCTTAGAACTTTGTATTGGACTGTCTTGAATTTTGTATTGGACTTTCTTGAATTTTGAAATGGACTGTCTTCAAAATTAAATTGGACTGTCTTCGAGGAGCACAAGACACGTCTGCCCCACGGCCGGATGCCCTTAGAACCCTATATTAGGAGGCCTTTACTACAGATCTTGCCGAGATTAATTGTAATTGCCTTTTACTACAGATTTCGGGTTTCAGGCACGCGACCTCTGACAGAAGGTATGCTACCGGAAGAGTTGAATCATTGTCTATTGGACCCTGTCCCCAAACTTCGGGAAGGGACTGTACCATTCATGCATACAAGGAGCATTGAGACATATATATACACTCGGATCATCTTGTACTTAGCACGCACTCCCTATCGCAATCGACACTTGTGATCACTGACATTTGACGCATGCCCTTCAACAGAAATCACTGATATTTGTCGGAACAAGCTCTTCCAGCCGATTTCGGGTTTCAGGTGTGTGACCGCTGACACGATGCAAAGGTTGCTCAGCTTCCCCAGTTGAGCTCCGCTTCGTCCAGCAGCTACAGAAAGAGTCTAGAAAAGAACATATGACTGTCTCGTTTTAAGATGTGTTTGTATTGCTAGTTACGAAATTGCGAATGATATGGTTTCAAGGATACCTGTTCAAAAACGACTGATACGAAATGTGACCTTTGTGCCTACATCGTCCTTGTGCTTGACGCCGTTGATGCTAAGCTCAGCTTGTGATTGAAGAAAGGTGGCTTATTCACGAGCTTACCCAGGCATGTGAATTGCATGAAGGATGACATAGCAACGACTCAGGAGCTCTGCAGGAGAGACACTCGATGTCACGCCTGGGTACTCTCTCGTGTGAATGCATGCCGCACGAGAACGTACAATCAACATCTTCTCGCGCGATACACGTCGCACACAAAGTTCGATACTTTCCTCTTTGCTCTGTATGGAAGCTAGTACTTAAACTAGCCTCTCCTTAGATCTCCTCCTTCCTTCCTGCAATCCACTTAGTTACACCATTACATCACGCATACAGCTTGCGCACAAATAACGTAACAGATCGCTATCTCGCTTCGCTTGCAATCATTTCCTCCGCGGCAAAGAAGCCCACTTCCGCATCTATGAAACCGGTTGCGCAAGCGAGGTAACATGCTTGTGGTTTGCAGATCCTGTCCCCATGCATTGGACAGAAGTTGAATGGCGAGCGTCGGGCACTTCGGTTGCCATGTTGCTGGATTTCGCAATATCGATCCCTGCGTTGTCAACACATTCAGCCCTAAGCGAAGGTGTGGCCGCAAGTAGATCACAAGCGAACTCGTATGCGCGGGCATTGCGGAGGTGAACGGGGAAACCTTTGCTACACACTAGCCGTCGATGTGAGACATTTGCGTTTTCGTCACAGACACTAGTACTATTCTTGCGAACCCGGCATATGCTTTCATGAGCTTCGTCCTGTCGGCATCCTGGGAATCCTGACGTATCTTCAACTCGCTCCCTTTGTTCTCTACTTTTACTCTTACGCTTTCGATTCTCCCATGATACAACCTTCCCATGCTCATTACCATAGCACTTTGTCCTCACATTCCCACGAGCATGGTCAACGTCCTCTCTTTGTTCCAGTTCCCACTTCAGCTCTTACATGACATTTTTTACTTGTCTTCTTCGTACTCACCAGACACGGAGTCTCTTGCTCATACACACATTTGCTAGGCTAGTCATCTATATAAGTGCTCCCTATTTCTTGGGTTTACTTTACTTCGAACCATCAACTCAATCATTCCTGATGCCTCAACAAAATCATGGCTAATTCGGCAACAAACCTTGCAGCATGCTCGCCCGAAGGTCCCTGGGGCTGTTCTTTGGCCAACGTAAATTTGTCTAGCAGTATTTGCCCGGGTGGAATGGTGAATGCAGCCATGCCTTGTTATTCGTGCAAGATGGAGACCGCGCAAGAACAGAAGCAGTTTTTGGGCAACCTAACACAGGTCGTAGGGTCATCCTCAGGCGCTACTTGCGCCACTTCTGGAGCATCCCACAAAGTATCAAAGCCGTCATTTTGGTTACTCTTGCTGGCACTGATCCTAGCCTGCTTCAGTGCAGCTTCCGCTAAAGAGGTTGCACTTCTTCCCGACCACGCTATCAAGAAATCGTCTTACCAAGAGGCGGAAGGTCGCATCTTGTGACTAACCCTAGTGATTGCGGGCCCGTAGACGAGCCTCGTGAAAAGGTCTGTTCTTTCGATGTATACTCTGATCCCAATTGTCAGAACGCCATTTCAGGAGCATACTTTAGCATGAATCCTAGTATAGGATACAATTGCGGAGCTTGTCTCCCTTGGTCCATGTTGGACCCTGTCCCAACTGGCACAGTCTACCTCAAAACGCATAGTGTAGGTGACGGCTTCGGCGCAGGCAATCAGATCCTTGTAGAAGCAGACAGTTCGTGTCCCTTGATGGGCTCTGCTGGTTTGATTGCAGGAGCTTCAGCATCGTCACAATGCCTACAGCTTGCTGCTTTATCAGGTGATGAAGGAATTGCTTGTTTCCCGAATGGACAAGACTCTGTACCAGCGAAGAGGGTTTTGGCCAAGAGGGACACCACTTGCAATGGCATGTACGTGGACAGCGCCGTCCCCTCACATTCGGCGCCAAAGCAGATCTCGAGTATTGTCGACTGCCGTGGAGGTGCAGCTGCATGCCCCATCAGTGTTGCTGTTCAACATACCGAAACTGTGTCGACCTCTCTTTCCTTAAACGCGGGAGGCCCGGTATCTGGCATCGACATAGGTGCGACTTTCGGTACAGAGTACAGCGAGTCAATGTCTGCCACAATCACCGAAGGATACAACGTGCCTGTTGGACAAGCCGGCTACTTGGTTTCTACCTTCAAGTCGACTTTGTTCAAGGGCTCATTCCAGGGTTGTGGTGGGGTCGATGGAGCAGGTCAGGCCAATGTCATAAGGAAGAATGGTGAAGAAAAGCGTGTGGCCATTGTCACGGGGTGATTGACAACGGAGGAACGAAAACCTCTGCATTCCGTGGATGCTACTTAAGACAAACCATTAGTAAGATTGCTAGTATTAATGCCAGCCCTGTGTCCTTGACACCCTAAGACTGCCACGACCATCAAACATGATTGCTAAAGTAAAGCTACTTATTTGTATACCGTCGTTTCTGTCGTACTGAACAACCTTTGAGTTTCCCTGTTCTCGATCTTCGTTGACGCCGCATTGACAAGTAACTTCACAAGCACTGATGAAAGAAAATTGGCGGGCAATGACAATCACATTACGATCCGGATGTTTAGCAACCGGTGACTGGCTTCAATATGGACCGAAGACAAGCAGCCGACTCTCCATGCCAAACAGCCAAAATCGCACCTTCTCAGTCAAGACTGCTGATGCCCGTTGCGGATCAGAACCGGAGGCAGAGGCGAGCCGAGTGCAGTCGTAGGAGAAAGTAGGAAATTCTCTGGCGCTAGCCTCCGAACTTGTGTTCTCGTTGATTAAAGATCTTACACCTTCCGTACATCAACAGGTACTGAAATGGAATGAGGCTAGATAAGGCGCACAACTTGTACGGTAGGTTAGCCCATACTAACCCCATTAACGTTGTTCGTGGTGGCGTAGCATTTCCAACGGAGCAGACCAGAACATACACAATCTCGACAGTATGTACATGTTTGTTGCATTTCAGCGTCGCTCGTCGACCGCAACAACAGTACCAAGTTGAATAGAGGTCCAGAACGAAAAGTCTTTGCCAGCTGCAGTCGCCGCCGCATCACCTTCTTGGCCGGCCGATGTCGAGTAGCGATAGGTGACGTGCATAGCCAGCTCCAAAGGACCTGGCACTGGCGGGTCCTTGGCGGAAATGGCAAGGTCGAGGTAGAAGGAGGTTGTGTGACCCTTTTGAACGAACGATTTGCGCCGTTGACCGCTGGTAGAAGAATGAGATTGGCGGTAAGCGTCGTCGTCTTTGTCGTCCTCCTCGTCCTCGAAGACCCACGCAGACTCTTCCTTGGAGTCAGTTGGTCCTGTGTTGCGTTCAATCGCCGTCTTTACCGCAACCCGGCTCTGTGAGTTGTCTGCATTGTTGTTGTAGAGGTCAGCGCTTCGGCTGGCGTCAGACTCGCTTTTTGAAAGGTAGAGGTCCTCGGAGTCTTCCAGCTCCCAGACTTCGTTGAATGCGTTCAAGGGAACGCTAGTTGCTGACGGATATACCTGCCATCCAAGGCGATGTCTTCGGGTTCTGTTCGTGGTTTCCTGTTTCGATGCTTGACTGTCTCCGGTGCTGTCGCGAGCGTCCGAAACGTGCGATGCAGAAGAGAAGATATACTTTGGCTCGGGAAGTGGCTGCACAGAACCGTTGCGGCTATCGTCATCGCCTGACAATTGCGAACGGTAAGGTCGACTAGGATTAGCGAAGCGAACAAAGCTCATGTCAACCTGCACTGGGTCGTCGAGAGGATTGGTGATCATGATCTGAAAGCTGTACGTCTGGCCTGCTACTAATGTGTTGACATCGACATCGTTGGATGTCACAAAGAGCGAAGAGCCTGTGCTGAGCGAGTCTGAACCAGCAGCTGTACTGTGCGATACAAGCATCGAAGGAGGTCTTCTCCTGAGCGAGCCAAGTGCTGAACCTCCTGCTCCGGAGCGACATCGAAGGGGATCGAGATACGGTTGCTGAGGGGCGAGACTGATCTGGATCTCGGGAAGGAAGTTGAGCGCTACGAGTTTGATCTTGAAACGATTCGAAGCGGCTTTGATGTCCGGCTTGATAACAATGTGTCGGCAGGCTGGACACCTTTTCGTTAGTTTGGACTTGAGCGGCACTCTTGTTGGACGCAGATCTGCCGCACGAACTGGCTGATCCGCTATCGAAACGGAAGACCAGCGCTGCTCGAGGGATGAGATCTTGTCGTCGAGAGAAGCGAAAGGTTGGTTGGGAGCGTTTTGAAGACGTGCGATGTAGTCTCTTCGGTGCTTTTCTCGCTTGGCCATGACACCCATGCTTGACGATGCTTGCCCGCTGGAGATGCTACGACTGTCAAGAGGAGGCTGCCACGGGTTTAGCGCACGGTATCGTTTGAGCTCGTCCGGCTCGATTGGACCCGATCGTCCAGAAGCGGGCAGACTTGTTGCTGCTAGATGTTTGGAGTGGGCGAGATGCGGGAGATCGCGGACGAGCTTCGAGGACTGTAAGGCGGCTGCGGCGGCATTGCGTGCAGCATTTGCTCTGGCACTGCAACTAGATATTGCAACGTTCGAAATGGAAGACGAGGTTGTGGCGACGGGAGAAGCGGCCGTGCCTCGCGAACGAAAGGCGCTGCCGGAGCCGACCGCTGCAGAAGTGATGGCTGCCTGAGTCTGTGTCTTAAGGTATAGATCGAAGTGATCTTTGAGTCGATCGAATTCAAGCACGTCAGGAGCATTGTCCTCGCTTCGTTGGAGCTGCAGGCTGAGGCCGGTGGGTTTCTCGAAGACGAGGCCGATCGACTTCGAATCCCAGCGACAGGAGGAGCAACCCAAATAGTAAGGCGGTTCACCTTGACTTGCAACTGGATCTGTGAGGTCGACGCTGCGAGCGACGTCCGAAGGTAGATCAGAGGCGAGGAGAGAGAGGGTGTGCTGACAGCAGGGGCATTCAAAGCAGTTCCTTGCGCAGCGGTTCTTTTCGGCCTTGACACTAGCTCCTGGGACCTCGAAGAGGCAGTTGGGACAGTAATAGGAGGAGATGTCTACCGTCACGCATCGATTGCATCGTATCTCGTCGCATTCATCGCAGAAATAGAGCGAGTCAAGCGGGTGGAAGGCATAGCGTGAGGCTGGCGAGTAGGCGGGCAAACCGGGCGGTGGTGATGCGAGAGAAGAATTGTGTCGTTGGCTAGGGCCTGGAGTAGAAGAAGACGAGGGTGCACTGCTAGTAGAGGTCTGATTGCAGGGGCAATAATACAGCACATGCGGCGATGTCATTGCCGCATTGCACTTGGCTCTTTTGAGATCGCAGGCGGGTTGTGTGAATGATGGTCGGGGTAGGTGGTGAAAGATGTGTTGGTGTGTGCGCCAAAGTGTTGATCTTCTTGCCGCGTTCAGACCCTGAACGTGAGTTCCTGGTATTTTTGGCATGTTGGCTGTTTGGGACTAACATCATTTGCAATGACCTCGACTCTCTCCAGAAGAAGAAAGCGATGTCGGGATCAGACCACCATGGGACTGCGCGAGTCCAACACGCTCTAAAATGTTGCGTGCTTGGGTTTCGCCTTTCGTCGTCCTCACCATCATCCGCTTCCGCCGCCAGACATCAACATGTCTGTTTCTACTACCGACGCTCAGGCTCTGGCCGAAAAGGCCCAGCTCAAGGTTCAGAAGCGCAAGCGCTTCCAGGCTGTCTTCCCTCTTCTCGTCGAGGAGCTCACTGCCTATCTCGCCTCTGAGAACATGCCCGCCGAGGCTATCGATTGGTTTCATCGCAACCTCGACTACAACGCTCCTGGCGGAAAGCTCAATCGTGGTCTATCAGTCGTAGATACAGTCGAAATCCTCCTCTGCACAGATGCTTCCACTGGCAAGCTCTCCCGTGAGCTCACGGAGTCCGAGTATCTCAAAGCAGCTATCCTCGGCTGGTGCATCGAACTTCTTCAGGCTTACTTTTTGGTCGCCGATGATATGATGGATGCAAGTGTCACTCGTCGTGGCCAGCCTTGCTGGTACCGTGTCGAAGGTGTGGGCAACATTGCCATCAATGACGCCTTCATGCTCGAAGCTGCCATCTACTTCTTACTCAAGAAACACTTCCGCTCGGAGCCCTACTACGGCATGCTTCTCGAGCTCTTCCACGACGTCACCTTCCAAACCGAACTCGGTCAGCTGATTGATCTCATCACTGCTCCCGAAGATTCTGTAGACCTGTCCAAGTTCTCTTTGCAAAAGCACCACCTCATCGTCGTCTACAAGACGGCATTCTACTCGTTCTACCTTCCCGTCGCTCTTGCCATGCGCATGGCCGGTGTCACCGACGAGTCACTCTACAAGCAGGCTCTCAACATTCTCCTCCCCATGGGCGAGTACTTCCAGGTCCAGGACGACTTTCTTGACTGCTACGGTACCCCTGAGCAGATTGGCAAGGTCGGCACCGACATTTTCGACAACAAGTGCTCTTGGAACATTAACGTTGCTCTTCAGAACGCTACACCGGAACAGCGCCAGATTCTCGACGACAACTACGGCAAGAAGGACTCTGAATGCGAGAAGCGTGTCAAGGATATCTACAACCAGCCCAACATTGACCTCCGCGCCCGCTTCCAGAAGTACGAGGCCGAGTCGTATGAGCAAATCAACAACCTCATCAACAACCTTCCTGAATCGCAAGGTCTTCGTCGAGAGGTCTTCCGCTCTTTTCTTGCCAAGGTCTACAAGCGATCCAAGTAGAAACGATCCAAGTAGAAATGATTTGTACAATAGTGCTCCCTTCGTCTTTCAACAGGAAAAAGACACTCTTTTAACCATATTCCGCTTCCGTCCTGCGGCGGACACTACATTCGGTCTCTCTTCATGAGCGTCTCATCGACTCTCACAGCCAGAATACGCTTCCATTGCGACGCGTAGACCACTCATGAAACCAAATCAGAACCATGTCATCGACACTTCTGACAACAAAGCACTCCCCTTGAGACGCGAAGACTACTTTGAGCAAACATCATAATTGTCTTGTCGACGTTGTTGGCCTGAAAACATCTCCGTTGTATCGCGAAGACTATTTCTAATCAACTATCACAGGGGCCTATACACCTCCGTTGCGGCGCGGGGACTACTCTGATCAAGCAACACAACCGTCTCACACTCGTTCTTGGCTTTAGTACACCTCCGTTGTGCTGCGGAGGCTATTTTGGTCTTGTGTCATGAACCCCTTCCCGCTTCACAACCGAGACTCTGGTGAGGAACAACATCGCACACACATGTCCCAGACCTGGTGCACGAACTTGAGAACTAAACCTGAAATTCGGACAATGGTAACGTGGAGAGTTAGTAAATACAAGCAATAGGTCAGAGAGAAGCTATGGTTACAACTGCTTGCGAAAAAGACTGAGCAGAATGTCGAAAGAGCCGTCAATGAGTGAGAATCAACGAGATGATGTGTATGACAGCATGTGCGATCGAGGCGCATTTGTGATCATGCCACCATCGCGGCAGGAACACCAGCAGCAGCGCCTCCAGCTACACCTGCACGTCCCGCTCCAAAAGTCTTGGTGATCGACCTGTCTGTCGGGTTGAAGGTATAGCCGTTGGCATGGAAGAGCTTGGAGGCAAGGTAGGGACGAATGTCAAACACGTCAACCTCTTTCGCGCGTGTCTCGAGCTCCGACACAGGTACAGTAACTACGGTGCTCGAAGATGCTGCGCCTCCCCGGCGAGCGCCGTTCGAGAGCTGGACAAAGCGCATTCGGTCCTTGACAATCGAACCGAGGATAAACGAGAGCAACTCGTCGTGGTCTCGGCTCTGGTGGAGGTATTTGCGGAAGCCACGCTCCAAAGTCTTCTTGACACTCATCTTCTGAGCCGACACGAATGATTCCACAGTGGCACGGATGGCAACGTCAATGTCGTCGGTGCGCACGTAGTCACGCAGATGCATCTTGGCCGATGCTTCAGCCATGCGGATCATACTCTCCAAGTGACGCACCGTGATGGGGAAGCTGCCAGTTGAAATCGACTCTCGGCGCAAGTCAGCGTACAATCGAGAGATCCGGTCCTGATCCAACGCGTTGAGCGAAGGTCGCACGTGGTCTCGGGCGTACATGATGTACTTTTTGAGAAGATCCTGAGGCAAGATGTCGGCGTCGAGCGAAGTGGCCACGAGCTGCTCGTCGGTCTCGTCATCGAATTTGGGGTGCGATCGCAGATGCGAGCCCACGACGAAGCGAGCCAGCATCTCGTCCTTGACTGGCTCCACAGTGTCCTTGACAACGCAGAGTGCATCGAAACGCGATAAGATGGGCTCTGTCAACTCGACGTTCTGGTTGAATGGGATCGTTGGATTGTATCGGCCACGAATAGGGTTGGCTGCTGCTACGATGGCACATCGTGCCTGTAATGTGGTCACGATACCGGCCTTGGAGATACTGATCTGCTGCTGCTCCATGGCTTCGTGGATGGAGGTTCGATCAGCATCATTCATCTTGTCAAACTCGTCGATAAGGCAGACACCCTTGTCAGCAAGCACGAGTGCACCGCCCTCAAGCGTCCATTCGCGAGTGACAGGATCCTTGCGCACCGACGCAGTGAGACCGACAGCGGAAGCACCCTGACCAGTTGTGAAGACGGCTCGCGAAGCTGTCTTCTCTACGTACTTGAGGAACTGCGACTTGGCGGTACCGGGATCACCAAGCAAAAGAACATTGATGTCACCGCGGATTCGGTGCTTGCCACCGATGTCCTTGGGAACACCACCGAACAGAGTGAGAGCGATGGCGGTCTTGATATCCTCGTGACCGTAGATGGAAGGAGCGATACTCTTGATGATGCGCTTGCCAATACGTTCATCCTTAGCCAAGGCCTTGATTTGGCGCTCGTCCTCCTCAGTGAGGCGGAAGGCAGAGTAGGCATCGTCTCGCTTGGCAATATGATTGGCCTCGAGAACAGTGGCAAAGACGGGGAAACCGTTCTTGGTGTTGAGCGATGCATCAAAATTGTTGCGGTAGACACCAGTAATCTCGACCTCCTCGCCTGGCTTGGCAGAGTCGATCAGATCCCAGAGCAGGATGACCTCTCGGTGGCGAGGCAGGCGACCAGGGGGTACGCTACCTGGCGACTCCTGCAGCGTCATCTTCTGGTAGTTGCGGTAGACGGTCTGCTCCGAGTTGATACGGAAGGGGCCTCGCTGCTCACAGTTGGAGCAGTAGTTGATCTTGATCTCCTGGTTGGCGTCTTGCCAGAAGGGACCGAGTACGGCACCACAGCGGAGACAGTCAAACTTGACGTACTTGAGTTGTGGGAAGACACCACTGCGTCGAGTAACGACACCGCTGACACGCACGAGCGAGTTCAAGTGGCCCTGACGCAGGTCTCGCAGGGTCGAAGAAGTAGGAAGGTCTGTGATACGAACATGCACCTCGGAGTGGATGCGGTCGTAGGAGGGGTAGTAGAGCATAATGACGTCGAAGGCGACTTCATCAAATATGGGCAGCATGCTGGCAGGGGAGTTGGCCAAGAAGTACGCCAGGATGGCTTTCGAGTCGACGAGATGAAGGAAAGAGATCTCGAGCGACTCTGCGTTGGTTTCACCAAGTGTTTTGATACGCTGACCGTAGACACTGACACCGTTCTCATCGACGTAGGTGACGAGAAAGTTGCGGAATTCGCGAACGATGGCTCGGCGCACATTCTCGGTGGCGACCCAGCTGGCAATGCTGTCAGTTTTGACATCACCCAACTGCTCGAGCGGAAGGTCATCAGCAAAGGCAGCAGCATCGGCACCAGCAGCGGTTTCGTCGTAGTGACGTCGTCTGCGACGGTTGAGGATGGCTACACCATCATCTGCATCGCTAGCGCCATCGTCGCTGTGAAGGAACTCAGGAGCGCGAGAGCGGCTTCCACGGGTGGCAGCTTCAGTGCGGTCACGACGACTCATTCGAAGTTCGGCAAGACGACGTGCGTTGGCGTCCATCTGGTCGTATTGGTTTGCGTCGTCAATGTCAAGCGTTGTGTCGTAGCGGTCAAGGGCCGAGTTCTCGGTGTAATCGTTGTCCATGTTTTCTCCAAAGAGGTCCTCGCCTTCGTCGTCGGAGTCGGCATTGTCTTGAAAGTGGTCACCAAGCTGTCTTGCCTCTTGCTCTTCATCGACCACCTCTGCGTCATCGAGCTCGCCGTCAGTGAAGTCGGAGAATGCAGCCGGAGGACTGGAAGGTGGCAGAGATGAGGGGGGAGGGGATGAGCGGCCGGCCGGTGTGGTGGCTGTGGATGGGCCAGGAAGAGGAGAGGAAGCGTCGAAAGGGTCGTCTCGCTGCTGCAATTGCTGCGAGCGACGACGCTTGCGGTTGGCGTTGTTCTGTGAATCAGCCTAAGAAGCGAATAAGTGTTGGTAGACGTATGTTCAAGAGTCAGTCGTCATGACGTTGTGCCGTATACGCAGAGCTCGAAAGCACTTACCATTTCTGTGTCTTAGTCTCCGTACAAGTGGACAGATGGCGACGTTTGAGGTCGAGCGGAAACGACGTTGAGATTGGGAGAGCTCCGATCGCTTGTACAGATGTGAGAGAAGGATGTAGCGGCGATGTCGAGGTAGCTGGAAGCAAAGAAGAAAAAGTTGCGGCGACAAAAAATTCAGAGTGGTCAAAGGCAAGATCAACACAACCCAAGATCAACACGGAGACTCTGAGGTAAGGTGTTGCACCGTTGTGCTGTCTAGCAACAATTGCTCAGCAAGCTCTCTGCTTTGCTTCGATCCTTTGAACGACCCTTTTCGAACCAACACAACATCATCTGTCCACACTGCTGATTCGCCATCGTAGAGTTGCGGGCTCTCCCGCGCTGAAGGACAGGGCGAAAGCGTCGGACGCGAACCTCATTTACACGTCTTCAACATGCTCGACGCGTTAATGAGTTGAACGCGTATTTCGCGTGTGCGCGAATTGTGTTGTACATCCATTCGCGCGAGACAAACTTCAGTTTGCGGAACTCCAGACACTTTACTGGACTCTTGCGCCAAAAAAGTTCGCTTTTAGGTGCTAAAGATTACGATCCAGTGAGATGTTAAAGGATGACGCAGAGCCGATCTGATCAGAGATCGAGGATAAACCGATTTCACTAGAGATCGGGTACAACCAAGTCCTGCTCATTGTCAGGCTGGATCATTAGGTATAGCAACTCCCACATTCAGCATGTGCCTCACAAATGTATATATACCAAGCTGAGAACACTAGGTTCTCACAATGTTCTCTTAGTCAATTAAGGATATTTGTTTCTAGGGGGTATCAAAGTTTTTGCGATTTTAAAAATGCGGGTTTTTTCGAGAGCACGTTTTTGGAGGGAATTTGAACCACCCCCAAGGAAAAGCAGGTTTCCAAAAACACAATGAAATCATATGGCCGATAAAATATGTAACCTAACAGTGGGCATATGTTACTTGTCACTCTCATTGCTATTACCCATTGCTTGCTTATATCTTGCTTTCCTCTTCACACAATGCACTCAATGTAATGTTTCATATGGTGGTGAGAAGAATTGTATTGAACAGAAGAAGAGAGAGTGCCTGTCAGATCGAGAATGGTTGTGTCAAGACTTGCTCCTGTCTCCAAGCTGATGTGCTTTGAGTCATGGCAATGTAGTCCACAGTAGTCCTCTCATGATGTCGAGACAATGCAGTAGTGTCTTCCTCATTGTGCCCAGTGGATCTGAACAGTGCCTGGAACAAACCCTCTCAAAGATCATGTGCAGCAGAACTTCGAAGTCTTGACACTGTGTACTGCAACATTCCTTGTGTTGCAGAGGCAAGGTCCAGTTCATATCCATGCTGATTTGTGTGTCTTGTCCTCCTGAGCTCTTGTGTATCCCTGGCATCAAGTTGGAGGCTTTGAATAACCTCATTCACCTCATCCTCAGAGGAAGAGGGCAACAGCAGGTTGGCAATATTGGCAGGACAGTCATATCAACTTGCAAAGGTGTGGGTGACAATGCAGGCTTGGATCATCTCAGCAGCAGTGATGCAGTCCTTGAAATGGTAGATGTTACCACAATAGCCTGTAAGGCACTGGAAGCAGTTCTTCAGGTATGCAATGGCATGTTTGACTCATACTTGGACTCAAGAGAGCATGTAGTTGAAGTGTCAAAGGTCTTGACTCTTGTTGGCAGCAATGTGAGAGAATGGTCCAACTGTGAAGGCAGAATGGCCATATCCACCATCAACCCAGATGAACTCACCTTCATCAAGGTACAGGTGAGGCTTCTTGAGGATGTTGCTGCCTGAGGCCCAAACCTTCGAATACTGAACACTGCCAGGCTGTCCAACAACTGATTTGACAATCTGCAGTGAGTGTGGCAGGATCACCAGCACTACATTGATGCTGTGGAAGCTTTTGTAGCAGAAGTGCTCTCGACTGAGCACTCCTGGCTTCCAGGCAAGAGGGATGTGTGTGCCATCCACCACAAGCCAGCCCTTACCCCACTCTTCAACCCCAGTTGTATTGTGCACCCAGGTGTCATGGGCCTGGATGCTCAAGAAGCAGGAAGGGCCACTGGTTCATATGGAAGGAGCACAGGTATCGAAGATCTATCCGATACCATTAGAGAGCATGGTCATGGTGCAGTCTCCATGGAGACCATGGACTCCTACAGACTCACATGCAAAGGAGGACCAAGCCCATATGTGAGGAGGGGCAGACACAGCCACAAAGAGGACCAAGCTCAAGGAGCATGCAGATGGTTACCACTCAGGGGCTCGAGAGACAAGAGTCAAAGGAACTGTCACTGGTCAAAGGAGAAGGAGCAGTGATAGGGAACTGGCAAGCAGGTCCTGAGGAGGAGGAGCAGTGTCAAAAGAGTCAACACCACTCAGGAGGCACAGGGGTGCCAAGCAAGCAGGATAGCAAGGAGGAGGAGCAGTGTCAAAGGAGTCGATAGCTCAAGGAGGACAGGAGTGGTGCTAGAGGGGCCCCCTGTACAGTACTCAATGAAGAAGGTACTCTCTGGAGAGAGAGCAGGAGCAGCATCACTGGCGATGCTGTGAAGAGGTATATAACCATGCTTTCTCATCATCAAAGATTGAGTGGATCCTCATCCACTCTACACTCACCATACAACTAGTCAATACTTTAGAAACATAAGTACTCATTAGTTTTCAGTCAGCATAGCAGCAATCTATCAAGGTTGCTCCTCATCGTAGTGTGTGTGTTGTATCACCACTACCTGACGTCCGAAGGCGCCCCATAGCAGGTTAGCAGTCTGGATATAGATAGAACCAAAGGCAGTAGTCCACTGCAGTCCGGGGATCACTTCAAGCATCAAGTCAACACACTGGACACTCGTGTTGACGCCACCAACCTTATCACCAACACCATCAACCTCATTATCATCAACACCCACCCCATCACCAACACCATCAACCTCATTGTCATTGACATTCACCAACCTTATCACCAACACCATCAACCTCATCATCATCAACACTCACACCAGACCTTGGTGTCATCATAACCTATGTATTGATATTGATCATGCCAAGCTACCCCTGAATGGAGTGTCCACAGAGGTCAGCCGAAACCTACGATAGTATATACAACAAATGCCACCTGCTGTCACTGTGCAACTTGATAGTCACTGATACCAAGACAATAGCTGTTGCACAGTTTGATAGTCACTGAGTATCTCGACAGACCGACCTGGGTTTCAGGCGCGAGACCCCTGACACCATCCCCCCTCTCCATCCCTTCTCTCCATGCTCCCTCTCCAACTCCCTTCCTCCTTCCAGCCATGGTGCACTACAGTGACAAGCAAGTAATTCTCAATGACATTGTCTGCACTCTCAAGCTCTCTATATCTGCAGAGGTCATCCAAAACACTGACAGAGTGCAGCACTCCTGCAGCACTGACATCAACAACTTGGACAATGATGGTGACCCAATTCCACTCTCATGACACCTTGTCTGCTTGTACACTTTCATATGCAAGCAAAGGTATGCAATCACACATTACACTCCTCTTGGCCATGCCAATAAGCTTATCCACCTTCTCAACAGGTATGAATCAAGCAATCATAGGATGTATCATGGACTTGTTCATATGTTGCCTGAAGCATTCAACAATCTGGCCATCTGACTCCAGCAAACAGAGGCTTTCTGGTGGAACTACAGCAGCTCAGGTGTGATGTCTCTCAACAAAGTGCAAGAGATTCTTTCAGTGGCTCTGTACAGACTCAGCTGTTCTGGAAATAGAGGTGGTGAACATGATGCTGCTTTGCAATGTGGCTGTGGTGTTGGGAGCATTGTTGGATACACCAATCACACAGTTGCTGGCCTCCTTGAGCTAAACAACAAGGTCATGCAGTTTGCTTTGGAGGGAGAGAGACAACATGCTTCTGCCTGGTGTCAGGGGTCTCGCGCCTGAAACCCAGGTCGGTCTGTCGAGATACTCGGTGACTATCAAACTGTGTGACAGCTATTGTCTCAGTATCGGTCTCGATGAGCTAGTCATTCGGCAACTATCAAGTTGCACAATGGCAGTGGGTGGCATTTGTTGTATATACTATTGTAGGTTTCAGCTGACCTCTGTGGACACTCTGTTCAGGGGTAGCTCAGCATGATCAATATCAATGCATAGGTTATGATGACACCAAGGTCTGGTGTGAGTATTGATGATGATGAGGTTGATGGTGTTGGTGATAAGGTTGGTGGCATTGGTGGTAAGGTTGGTGGCATCAACATGAGTGTCCAGTGTGTTGACTGGTGCTTGAGGTGATCCCTGGACCACAGTGGACTACTGCCTTCAGTTCTATCTATATCCAGACTGCTAACCTGCTATGGGGCGCCTTTGGACATCAGGTAGTGGTGATACAACACACACACTACGATGAGGAGCAACCTTGATAGATTGCTGCTATGCTGACTGAAACTAATATATACTTATGCTGAAGTGATAACTAGTTATGATGGTTGTGTGTAGAGTGGATGAGGATCCACTTGACCTTTGATGATGAGAAGGTATGGTTATATACCTCTTCACAGCATCACCAGTGATGCTGCTCCTGCTCTCTCTCCAGAGAGTACCTTCTTCATTGAGTACTGTCCAGGGGGCCTCTCCTGCTTGCTTGGCACCCCTGTGCCTCTTGAGCTGTGTCGACTCCTTTGACACTGCTCCTCCTCCTTGCTATCCTGCTTGCTTGGCACCCCTGTGCCTCCTGAGTGGTGTTGACTCTTTTGACACTGCTCCTCCTCCTCAGGACCTGCTTGCCAGTTCCCTATCACTGCTCCTTCTCCTTTGACCAGTGACAGTTCCTTTGACTCTTGTCTCTCGAGCCCCTGAGTGGTAACCATCTGCATGCTCCTTGAGCTTGGTCCTCTTCGTGGCTGTGCCTGGCCCTCCTTGCATATGGGCCTGGTCCTCCTTTGCATGTGAGTCTGTAGAAGTCCATGGTCTCCATGGAGACTGCACTATGACCATGCTCTCCACTGGTATTGACTAGATCTCTGATACCTGTGCTCCTTCCATATGAACCAGTGACCCTCCTGCTTCTTGAGCATTCAGGCCCATGACAGATGGCAGCAAGAGCGATGCCGAAAGGTTGCAGAGTGGAGTGGTGGTAGTAACAGAAGAGGTGTGAGAGTGGAAATTTTTGTTTAAATGCTTTTGAGCTCATTATGTGACTGTGCTGCACATCATTTTTATTCACCTCATACTTGCACTCTACAGAAAAACACTCAGAAATGACTTTGCATTGAGACCAGATGATGGTACATGTAATGCTACAAGACAGGAAGATTGAATGAAGAGTCCATGTTGTTGTTGTTGCTGGTGTTCTGATGAGCATCCTGTTTGATGCTGGCCTGAGAAGAAAGGAGGTGCACCATCTCCATACCATTTCACAATCACACACATGAATGCATTCATCACACTCTTTCTCCTCCCTCTCATGATGCAGGTGCATCTCCTTGCACTTGGTATGCTCAGCCTCCAGTATTTTCTCACATCTGGTGCATTCCTGTTCAAGCTGCAGGCAGATCTGAAGGGTATCAATGGAAGAATGATAGAAAGCTTCAGCAAGTGCATTGTGCTTGTGATCAAGGGCACCTTGCTTGTGCTTGGTGCTGGGAGAGAGCTGGGCTGAAGATTGAGAAGAGGTGGAATCAAAGACATCCAAACTGCCAGCAGTGGAGGAAGGTGGTTGAGCCTGCAAAGGTGGAGGCAAAGGTGTGTTAAAGATGTCATCATCACCAGTGCCAGCAAAGGATGCACCAGAAGTGGATGCAACAGCAGCCAGGGGGTTGGTGGGTTCAATCAAGTCAAGAATAGGAGGCAAACCACAGCCATGAGTGCTGTGATTGTACAGCTCGCTGCCACAAATATCCATGGGTATGTCAGCTGAGCTGTTCAAAGGCATGTCAGGCTCATCATTGCTGGTGAAGTCAAGACTGGGAGTTGTGATAAGTGCTGCAGGATCAGCATTGAATTGGCCATTCATCATCTCATGCATCCTTTCAAACCAAGCATACTTTGTTGACAGGGCAATGTGAGATATGTAGGACTGTTTAAAATCAAAAGTATGAATCAGCTGTCATGGGCCTGGATGCTCAAGAAGCAGGAGGGTCACTGGTTCATATGGAAGGAGCACAGGTATCGAAGATCTAGTCGATACCAGTAGAGAGCATGGTCATAGTGCAGTCTCCATGGAGACCATGGACTTCTATGGACTCACATGCAAAGGAGGGCCAAGCACAGCCATGAGGAGGACCAAGCTCAAGGAGCATGCAGATGGTTACCACTCAGGGGCTCGAGAGACAAGAGCCAAAGGAACTGTCATTGATCAAAGGAGAAGGAGCAGTGTCGAAGAAGTCGACACCAGGTCATGAGGAGGAGGAGCAGTGTCAAAGGAGTCAACACCATTCAGGAGGCACAGGGGTGCCAAACAAGCAGCTGGATAGCAAGGAGGAGGAGCAGTGTCGAAGGAGTCGACACAGCTCAAGAGGCACAGGGGTGCCAAGCAGGAGAGGCCCCTGAACAGTACTCAATGAAGAAGGTACTCTCTGGAGAGAGAGCAGGAGCAGCATCACTGGTGATGCTGTGAAGAGGTATATAACCATACCTTCTCATCATCAAAGGTCAAGTGGATCCTCATCCACTCTACACACAACCATCATAACTAGTTATCACTTCAGCATAAGTATATATTAGTTTCAGTCAGCATAGCAGCAATCTATCAAGGTTGCTCCTCATCATAGTGTGTGTGTTGTATCACCACTACCTGACGTCCGAAGGCACCCATAGCAGGTTAGTGGTCCGGATCAAGATAGAACTGAAGGCAGTAGTCCACTGTGGTCCAGGGATCACTTCAAGCATCAAGTCAACACACTGGACACTCGTGTTGACATCACCAACCTTATCACCAACACCATCAACCTCATTATCATCAACACCCACCAACCTTATCACCAACGTCATCAACCTCATCATCATCAACACTCACACCAGACCTTGGTGTCATCATAGCATTGATATTGATCGTGCCGAGCTACCCCTGAATGGAGTGTCCACAGAGGTCAGCCGAAACCTATGATAGTATATACAATGAATGCCACCTGCTGTCACTGTGCAACTTGATAGTCACCGATACCAAGACAATAGCTGTTGCACAGTTTGATAGTCACCGAGTATCTCGACAGACCGACCTGGGTTTCAAGCGCGAGACCCCTGACATCAGCATCCAAGCATACTATTGCAAGCAATGAAGATCACCAAAACTTACTGGGTTGCATGCATCCATGTCCTCCAGCAGCATACCAGCTCCAGTGAGTGAAAGCTTCTTCTTCTCCCTGTAGTATGTCTCTAGCAGCCACCTCAGCTTGGACTTGATGTGATTGGGATTGACAGATGCACCTGGGAAAATCATCTTGGAGATATCCTGAAAAATGGGATGTTTGCAAAGTTTGAGGGCTGGATTGCTCTCAGCCAATTCTCAAGATGGCAGCAGAGTGCACTGGTAGGAGTCATTGTTGTAGAGGATCGTGACAAGGTGAAGAACATTGGCACCTGACTATGTGAAGTTCTTCTTGCCTGTGGCAGATCTAGAGGCTCGAGTTGGACAGGAAGTGCAGATGTCAGGAGTGCTTGTAGAACCAGATTGAGACAGTGCAGGCACACTTTCAATGTGAGTTGCAGAGATTGTAGGTGTAGAGGATTGGCATAATAACTCTGCAGAGATGTCACCAGAATCATCAGTGGAGGAGGTCATGTTGAATGAGTGCAAGGAAGAGGGAGTGAGCAAAAGTGTGATGAGACTGAGCAAAAGTGCAATGAGAGTGAGGAAAGGAGAGAAAATGTGGAGTGATAAAAAAACCGCATTTTCGCAAATGTGCCTCCTGAGCCATGTTTTTGAAAATGCGGTTTTTTTTTTTCCTTTGCAGAGCTTATGTAAGCTTTTGCGGTTTTTTGAAAAATGCACTCTTGAAAAAAACCCGGGTTTTTAAAAACGCAAAAACTTTGATACCCCCTTCTGTCTAAAACTAGCAGTGACATCGTACTTAGACTCTACCCGATCGCCAGTTATCGGGACCAAACTTCAACATTAGGGGGTATCAATTTTCGAGTGTTTTTAGAAACACGTGTTTCTCGATTTTGACGTGTTTTTATTTCGCACAAAAACCTTACGTAAGCTCACCAAAATATACACGCCTCTGGACCCGGTAGAATGGACTGACTTTTTCGTCACTCTCCAAAATGAAGTGCGGATGCACGGATGCGCATCCTCCTGCTCTTCGAAAACCCCGGGTTTTTAAAAACGCAAAAGCTTTGATACCCCCTTTTGGCTCCCGATAAAACTTTTCTTCCTACATCTCCGGCAAGGCTCGCTTTATCACCACCATACTCATAACCACTTCACGGTCTTGTGGTCAGATATTATCTTAAGTCCAGCGAGAAGCTCGCGAAGCTATGGCGGTAGAAAAGTCAAAGTCAGGCAAGGCGTCGGCCGGACCTCGACGCAGGCGACAGAGAAAAACGAGAACTCTTGCCCTTTCCTCACGCGATGACTCCGACTCCTCCCCATCATCTTCATCTTCCAGCAACGACGATTCGGAAAGCGATGAGGCAAATACGAAGTCTGCGAATAGGGAGTCACCTCCACCCAAGAGGGCGCCTTCGGCTTCCTCATCTTTGTCGTCATCTTCTTCATCCAGCTCTGCGAATTCCACATCGTCGTCAGAGAGTAACGGGTCCGACCCGGACTCACCCGCTGCTCGCAAACGCACCTCAAAGAATCGCACTACTGCACCGAGTGATATCATGCATGCTTCAGCGGCAGCCTCGTCATCAGGAAAGCACAGGCATGTCTTCAGATTAACACCCGAGCCAGAATTGGACGAGGCGGACTCCATTCCCGTCAAGAAGCGCACGAGTCACAGAGAGCAGGCCATAAAAGCTCTTGAACCGGCAAAACTTAAACTTCCTTCGCGATGGCAGCACATCGTTAACGCAATGAAATCGTCACCTTCGAGCAAACGAGATTTCGAGGGCGACAGCACGTCCAACACGCAGCAGTCCAAGGCCCAGCAAGAGCGCCGTCGACAGGCCTTCCGCTCGCTCTGGCTCAAAGCCATCGCTAATGAATTTGAAGATGAGCTCGACAGCATTCGTACCGTAAGTTGATTTATACTTCTGTGCAACGGCCGGCTAACGCTCGACATGCTAACGACCCTGTTCCTCTTTTGCTTTCTCTACATCAACCCCTGCAGCGCGAACCCTCTCTTGGTGCAGACGGTGGTACAAGGCTTCCGCTCTTCATTGATGCTCTTGCGTATGGCTCAGAGCTTTTCACTGCGCCGTCAGGTAAAGAGCAAGTTCATGGACGCACGGACGACATTGACGAGCTAGCACTCACCGCGAACCTGTGAGAGGAGCAATGAAATACAATTTCGTATCTGTGGTATCATCGTATCAAGTCTCGTCTGGTCATGTTGCGGACGGAGCTGCTTCCAAGAGTTCCTGGAGAGCATTCTCTGCTGCTGAATCAACGCCACAGTACTTGAGGCGGCGTCCACCACTTGGTTCTTTCCCAGTGTCACCTCTGCATGAGCGAAAGCTTCCATATCGAAGAGGACTGAACGTTTGCTCGCATCCCAGCGTATGCGATATAGATTCACAGCAAGGATGTGTGCTTCGATTCGGTTGAGACGCAGTGAAATCTCTTCGTGACGAGGTGGATCGAGGCGCTTTCTGAGCACGTCGACGAAGGACGGCTTGGACATGACTTGAGACTGGTAGGTAGGCAGCCGGCTGTACCATTCACGAGCAGTCTCGCATTCCAAAGCTGCTCGTCGCAGGGGAATGGTGAAGTCACTTCTGTGTATAGGATCATCGGAGAGATGTCCATGTACAGCCATAAAGTTGATCATAGAGGAAGACAAACCAAGCCAAGCGCATTCGGCTCTCGTAATCTACCCAGGAGCGCCATTTCCTTTCGAGTACCTCTTCATTGATCGAGTCTGGCGACTGATCAAATGCATTGAGGCGCAAGCTAGGCATGTTGAGCAGACCCATACGACGAATGGCGGTCATGATATCACCTCGATTACGCTCAGCAAGCTTCCCAATCCTATGCCGAAGAGCTGCTGCAGCAACCAAGCCTGACTGATGCTGATATCGAGGAAGCCGCGCTGATCGGCTCCAAAGGCACTCATCGTTCCGATACGCGTGAGCTCCGAGAATGCTGGACCCAAGATACTGGCCCGCTTCTGGAGCTTAGCAAGGCTTGCGCTGCGAGCGCCTTGTGCTTGACCAATGCAGCAGGTTCGGGCTACAGTGGCGATCAAGACGACCTCAAGGCCAAGGCCTAGACTCTCACACCCTCACTTAGAGATAAAATTGGCTGAATAGGCAGTCAATCCCTGACATTCCTTACAATGTAACCAATAGCGATGTTCTAAAACGTGACTCCGTTGATACAGTATTGTACATTACTGTATATTAACTTCAATCCCATTCCAAGTGTGAAGCCATGATCAGAAGATAGGGTACCAGGGTCAAGGTAGAGCTGTGTCTCCTTCATTGATTGCTCTGTGGACGAGTTAAGGTGTTCTTCTTGGATCGTTGCGCTTGAATTGTGTCAAAATTGTTTCTGATAATGCAACGTCTAGAATAATGGTCGCGAAAATGGCCAAGGAGACACGAGCCGTGCAGGGGTAGCACCCTATAATTCGTAGTTGAAGATTTACAGGTAAAACGCGACTGTTTAGGAGCTACTAGCAAGCTCAACTTTTCAGGTGTATAACAGTTGTCATGTGTTTAATTGATAGGTGCTACAATGTGAACATATATATACTTGATTGCTATCTTCAGCCCATACTAGATCATAATGAACTATTCTTCATATCACCCCTGTGTTGTCGCCTTCTGAGGGTTGCCATCTCCTGAGTGTTATTGTTGAAGTACTTATATGTCCCACATGCATATCGATGCATGTTGACATGCAACTCTGACTCACCAGTGTCTCGCTTGTGCTCCGTGAACCATGTGGTTCAGTTTTAGGATGCCGACGCATCTTCAACTCCCCCCCTCGATGGCATCATCAATCCTATTTGGCATGTGATCCGAGATGTGGCCAAGCCCTTCAGCGGCTTCGTGAGGATGTCTGCAACGTTGTCTGTTGTCCCGACAAAATCGATTTTGACTTCTCCTTCCTGAACATGGTCTCTGACGAAGTGGTACCTTGTGTCGATGTGCTTCAACTTCCAATGCTTGGCGGGGTCTTTGCTTACTTGGATACATCCTTGACTGTCTGTCCGCAATGTCAGTGGATGGGCTTCAACTCCCAGGTCCCTGAGAAGGTATGAGAAGAAAAGAGCCTCTCTCGTTGCCTCCGAAGCAGCTATGAATTCAGCCTCGACTGCTGACAATGCCACGCACTTTTGAACATGTGACCTCCAGCTAACCAGGCACCCATACATGTATGTTACTCCCCCTGATGTGCTTCTTCATCCATTCGTTGGGTCTGATGCCCAATTTGCATCAGTATATGTAATGATTTGCTGTCCCGAGTGTTTGTTCACTTCATCTCCGAAGAGTAACTTATATTTGCTGGTTTGATTGAGGTACTTCACCAAATGCAATGCTGCCTTCCATGCATTGCTCATTGGGCTCGACATGTATCTTGCTAGTGTTCCTACGGTGAATGATATGTCAGGCCATGCTGTGTTAGATACCCATAAAAGCTGTCCAACTAATTCTTGGTACTGTTTTGCTGCCAATGAGTCACACTTGTTGCCACCTGTAATACCTGTCAGGCTCTGCATTGGTACCTATGACTTCAGATCAGTTGTTTGTAGCCACTTTCTCACCATAGCCTTAATGTAAGCCATTAGATTGAGTGTCATCCTTCTCCATATTCTGTCTCGATCTATCCTTACGCCTAAGAACTCTTTCACAGGTCCTTTATCTTCCGTTCCCCATTTTGCCATTATCTCATCCTTAGTGCAGCTTACCTCCGTGCGACTGGGTGATGTTATAGGCATGTCATCTACATAGGCTGTGATGATTGTCATGCTATCGCCTGTTCCTCTTGAGTATAGGCATGGAGTGCTCGGCATGCAATAGAAACCTATCTTTTGTAGGTGTGAGTCTAGCTCCATATTCCATTCTCTACCCGATTGCTTTAATCCATATAGGCCTTTCATTAGCTTTAGGGCCTTTCCAGGGGGTACCTTCATTCCAAGCGGTGGCTTTAAGAAGATACTATGATGTAACATCGAGTTCAGGTACGCCTGTTTAACATCGACACAATCTACTTCCCAGTCTCATACAGTTACCATGGCTAGAACTCCTCGAATTGACTGGATGGGTGCTACAGGGGTGAAAACTTCTGTGTAATCAATACCCTCTCTTTGAGTGAAGCCCCATGCCACTAACCTTGCTTTGAACTTGGTTGGGATTAGGTTGGCATCCATCTTTATCTTTAGTACCCAATGCGTGTCGATGGTGTTCATACCCTTTGGGAGATCGGCGACTTCCCACATGCCCATGGCCTTAAGCCCATCCAGCTCCTTACGCATCACTTCTTCCCAATGTTTCTTGTCCTCTCCGGATAGCGCCTCGCTAATGGTTGGGTCCAGGTTCTTTCTTTCATTGTCATTGGTCGCCATAAATCCATAAAGTTTATTATCATTCCATCTGTTGGCAATGGTATTGTGTTCGATCGCTTCCTTGGCAACTTCATCTGAGGTCTGTCCTCCATCTGTTTCATCGACATTATCCATGTCCGTATATTCCTGCAATGCTTCCTCTTCCCTCTCGTCAAAAAGGTTCTCATCTGTGTACCTCAGATCGCCAAAGTCTTCCTCGTTTGTTAACGCTGGTGGTGGCTGTGTAATCACTGGTTGCCACTCCGTCCTATTGGACCAGCATTTGGTCTCCATGAACTTTGCTGAATTGCTCCAGAAAATATTTGGTCTATAATCTGGGCTGTAGAAGAGCCAGCCTCTTCTCTCCAAACTATATCCTAGGAATATGGATGCTACGGCCCATTGGTTGAGCTTCTTATTGTCTCTTTTAGCTTTAGGAATATTTACCCATGATAAACATCCAAACACATGTAGAAGCTTCATAAGCCATTCCAGCGATCTCCCAAACATAGCCTGATATGGGACCTCACCATCTATACTTGGGGTGAGATTCATCTTGAATGCCACGGCCCATATTGCATATGGCCAGAACCTCTTCGGCAATCGTCTCTGCATGAGTAGGGCCCACATCTTCTCACTTATGCTCCTGTTCGTCCTTTCTACATGTCCGTTCTGTCTGCTATCATATCCTACTGTCATTTGCCACTCTATGCCTTTATCATGTGCCCATTCATGGGCATCGTTACTCCTCCATTCAGTACCTTGATCAGACTGTATTGCTTTTAAACTCTTTCCTGCCTGTGTCTCTAGATACACAATTAATGATTTTAGCTCCTTAAAAGCGTGGCTCTTTCGTAATAGAGGTCATACATACACGTACTTGCTGTGGTCATCAATCAAGACCAAAGTGCACATGTACTCTGTTGCATGCAATGAATCGACCATCAAGTTGATATGAATGAGGTCAAGTGGAGAGACAGACCTTTCTCCACCACCCTGACCCATTCGAGCTGCTGTGCTTTTAGCTCGGATGCAATGCTCACATGTCAAAGCAGCATTTGGACTTAGGTTTGCTGGGTGGTCACCTTTTAGATGGTTGATGATGGCTCTCGTTTTGTCTCGGCCTGGATGGCCTAGACGCTCATGCCATAATTGTTGTTTGGATATCTTGACTTTGTTCTCAATACACTCGAAATCTTCATCAACACCTTCAAATAATGATGCTGATGTGATCATTGCATTTTCCTGCCATGTGTCGCCTTGGAACTCCAAAAGTCCTCACTCGCGATTCTTGGTCATCTTGAGTAACATGCTGTTTGCTAGGTATATTTTCCCTCCGGTTGAATCTAGTATCACTTGTGCTCCTTCATCTGTCAGAGAATTTGTTGACAATAGGTTAACATTGAGATGCTGAACATACAATACATTTTGGAGAGGAACATCTCCGGTGTTTGTTGATATGCTAGCATCTCCTATAGCAGTTGCTTCCAGAACCTCGCTTCCAGCGGTGAGTATGTGCTTTCGGCAGGTCCTCGGACCAATGAGCATGCTATAGTCGTTTACCATGTGATAGCTGGCACCTGAGTCTAAGATCCAATGAGAAGTCTCTTTTGAATCTAAAGTGCTTGGCCAACTATGTGTGAGGGAGCACCAGATCTCCTATTTGGGCCTGGCAAGGGGAGAATTTTCTGGTATAGTCACTGATGCATCGCATTGACTGATCCCATGTCCAGGTCTTTTGCAGATCCAACATCGAAGCCTTTGGGGTCTGGCGGCGACCTTGGCACTGGTGCTGTCGGCATCCTTTTCATCATCTCCGGGTGTCTCATTCTGGTCATCGCTGTCGGCGACTCTGGCACTAGCTTGGTGTGGATCAACCCTCAAAGCAGGGTTGTTCTCGATCGCCGATTGCTGGATGGATAGGGCGGTGGTGAGGGCACTGAAACTAAGCTGGCTTACAGTAGCAACAGTTTCTTTGTACATTGGGTGTTGGATGGTGCACTTTTGTAGATTTGAAAACAGGGTGTCATCAGCGAATGGCTTTCCCAGTAAGCTGCTCTCCGTTTGGATGGTTCTTATTTCTTGGATGAGCTTTCGTACATCTGAGCTGTACATCCTGAGTTCTCCTAGCTGAGTGATCAATGCAATATGATGAGATATGGTGGTGGCCTCATTGGTGAGTCCATTTTCAATCTTCTTCCATACATTATGGAACGTATGATGTTCCCTGATGATGTCAAGAATCAAGTAATTTATGTTAAACTCTCCAGTGGTATCGATGGTACTGCGTAGTGCATTCATTAAGGCATCATCGAACGTGTGGTTCCACTTGGGATGTTTCTTGTCATACGCTCCATCAAGATGCTTCATAGCATGGGGGACACATCATAGGAAAGACTTGATATGGGCACTCCAACTATAGTAGTTGTGTGATGTGAGTTTTGGAACTGGCTCAAGTAGCTTCACTAGGGTACAAAAGTTGTATTGCTTGCCATCATTGTTGTCATGGTTTGAGTCAGAGTCAGTTTCTTCATCGGTGTTGTCATCGATTGCCTCGGTGTCTGACTCGTTGGTGGCCTCGTTATCAGTGACACACAGTTGTGTTGCCTTGCCCTTTCTTCCTCCTTTGACCTTGCTTGCTATGGCTTGAGCTTTGGTTTCTTGTACCATGTTATCAATGGTCCCGGCTAGCTCAGTCGGTAGAGCTTCAGACTCTTAATCAGTTGAAGATTTACAGGTAAAACGTGACTGTTTAGGAGCTACTAGCAAGCTCAACTTTTCAGGCATATAATGGTTGTCATGTGTTTAATTGATAGGTGCTACAATGTGAACATATATATACTTGATTGCTATCTTCAGCCCATACTAGATCATAATGAACTATTCTTCATATCACCCCTGTGTTGTCGCCTTCTGAGGGTTGCCATCTCCTGAGTGTTATTGTTGAAGTACTTATATGTCCCACATGCATATCAATGCATGTTGACATGCAACTCTGACTCACCGGTGTCTCGCTTGTGCTCCGCGAACCACGTGGTTCAGTTTTAGGATGCCGACGCATCTTCAACTTTCGTCCTTACACGACTACTCGACGTCCTCAACCTTTCTCACCGGACAGTCTGTCGCCTGCAATCTTTCTTCACAGTGAGCGTGCGGAGAGACTTTGCTACATAAAGGTGGTATAACTTCATCAACGTGCGTAAACGAGATGGGGAAATGTCAAAAGTACAATGCTTGCTACAGGTCGTGAAGGAGAACCAATCTAATAAACATCGCCGATCGGCACAAAGCTGATCAACCAAGGCAACTCATGCGGCCGACGCTGGAGGACCGTGGAAACGTGTGGACCTCTTCCGACGAGCTTGGAAGCTTACACACTGCTCGTCGCTATCCTCGTCATCCTTGTCCGCCAAGACTGTCTGAGCAAGCTTGGCAGCCACAGACTCAGGCTCGTCGGATCGAGGAGCTTCTTCGTCGACGTCGGCGAACTGCGACTCTTCCGCCACTGGGACGGACGGGGTCTCACCTTTACGGAGAGTTGCGGCCTCCGTCGAAAGGGTGGCATCCATGGCAAAGGTCTGGCACGCGGGTGCTGTGGGCTGAGCGCCGTTAGGAGCTTTGCTGGTAGCAGCGACGTTGTTGGTACTGCTGAGGTCTGTTGCTGCCGTGTTACCGCTCTCATTAGGCACGGATGACTCGGAGGGCGACAGGATGTGTTGATAGGGCGGCTTGTAGACATTGTAGCCGCCTTCGACCGAGGGCGTGAGGATGTCGTTGGAACTTTCACTTCCACTCGACCCTTTCCGAACGTAGGCTTCGGGAAGAAAAGCCGCACCGCCATCGTCAACATCACCACCGTCAGTGTCTTCATCGTTTCGAACCGTCCAGCCGTTGCCAGAGTTGACGAGCATCGCACCACGCGCGCCGCCAGCCTCATCGAGACCATCGGAAAGATCATCATCCGAAAGTTCGAGCTCTAGGTCCACATCGTCCGTCTCAAGATCAATGGTGTCCAGAGGCGCGGTGACATGGCGGCGACGCCCGAGGCTGTCAAAGGCAAAAGGTTGAACAGCACCAAGATCGAAGAGAGGCGAAGACGGCTGACTGGCGGTGCTGAATGCGCTTCGTGCCAGGCTCGAACTTTCAATTGGCTCTGTAAGCAGCTCAGTGGACAGGCTTGGAGACTCTGTGAGGGCACTGTTGCTATTGCTGCCCAGTACAGGTGCACTGGTTGGCGTGCCTGACTCAGCGCGAACTCCGGTTTGCCTAATGGCGCCTTGCGTGTCGACAGAGAGCGGTCCCAAGGCGCTGGGAGGCGCTAGGCCTGGCTTGACGACACTTGCGGTGCTGCGAATACTGCCGCTGCGTTTGGCGAAACCTGCGTTGCTGACGCCGGATGAGAAAGGTTGTGCATCGCGAGAACCACGAGTGCTGGGACGAGAAGAGCTACGATTGCGGTCGTCGCCGCCGTTCATCAACCAACTGCCACGAAGGAAGCCGCCGAGTCGGTGACGACCCGAGACTCGCGAAGTCTGCGAGATACTCAGCGTCGATGACCTTCCTTCCGAATCGAAAGATCTTCTGGGTGAAGCGGCGCGGCGAGAATGCGAGTCATTGCTGCCAGAATCTCGTCTGCTGGGCATGCGATGCATAGAAGGCATGTATGGAGAAGAAGTGTGGAACGAAGACGACGCCGACGTGGCACTGACTCTTCGTGCTGCTGCACCATGCGTGTCGGAAGAAGTGCGCTGTGGAATCTGTGGGCCTGCGTCGGGTCGCAGCCCTGCACTGCTCGAGGATTGCGCGGAAGCTCTTCGTTGCGCGACGGTGCCTGGGGTTTTCATTGCATCATGATCGATACTGTCGACCAGCACGGGAGGCGGCATCACGGGTGAGAGGGTCGAGACTCGGTCATGTGCTTCTGCGACGCTCTCTTCAAACGTCCGAGGTGACGTATGGCGCGGCGAAGTGCCCAAATACTCAGACGCCTTGACTGCAGATGATCCGGAGGCCACAAAATCGGCATCTTCATCTGGATGGGCGCTGGTGAGGGCACGGAGAGTGGTACCACCATCGCGTCGACCAACAGAACTTGTGCTCTTCTGGAATCCAAAGAAAGCGGGTCCCTTGAGCGGGGTTCGTGGGGTCCGTACAGACGATGTCGAGGGACCAGACTGGCTCGATGAGTCGAAAGGAGTAGCGGGGGATGAGATGGCGTTGCTCTCTGTACCTTGTCGGCTTTGATGGAGCGACCTATCGCCAGAATCGGTGCGTCCATCCGCATGGATCGAGGAAGAGGCAGAGGAATGGTTAACCGACTTACTACGTCGTCGTCCGCCTACGAATGAGTCGAACAGTTTTGATTGCCACCTCTTGACACGCTGCTTGAGCTTGGAGAAGCCGGTCAAGGCGTCCTCGACGTCGGCATGCGAGATCTCGACGTAAGGCAGATGCTGCGGATCCGTCTCGGAGAGCCATGCAGGTGCGTCTTGCAAGCCGCGAGTGACCCAAGGATGCTTCTTGACCTCTTCAAGTGTGATACGTTTGGTGGGATCCTTCTCGAGCAAGCGATCCATCAAGTCGCGAAGTTGTCTCGCATCTTGGCTGAGGCTGTCAGGGTCGGCGTCCGGGCAGAGCTCTGAGGGGCTTGCTGGCTGTGCGTCGGCTTCTTCGTCGGTCCACTGCGAATGGGATTGCCACCTTTGCTTTCTTGGGCCAACACGGACACGGTCGGAGCCCATGAAGGTGGGGAGCGAGTAGTCGGTGTTGGGAATGACAGCAAAGAGTGCATACTCGCATTCGGCGGTGAAAGGGGTGGTGCCGAAAAGAAGACAATAGAGGGTAACGCCGAGGGCCCAAACATCGATGGCTTTGGTGACCTTGGGTCGGATCGGTGCTGTCGAAATCTTGCCACTAGCAGCTTCGGCCAAAGAGGCACTGTTTGACGCCGGCTCGATCGAAGGAGAGGTCGAAGAGAAGGACGACATGCAGAGTTCGGGCGCGAAGAAGGCAGGGCTTCCTGCGGTCTTTGCCAGCTCGCGATCGTCCATGAGACTTGGATCTGAAGTGGAGCCAGATGGCTGACCTAGCCTGCTGGAGGAAGAGGATGCGGACGAGGACACTGCAGTTGCTGCTGCAGCTTGGTCGCTGGCAATCATCATGGCGTAGCTAAAGTGGGAGACGCCGAAATCTGAGATCTTGACTCTGCGATCTTTGTCGCAGAGGAGGTTGGCAGGTTTGATGTCACGATGAATGATGCCTTGATAGTGTAAGTACTCGAGGCCACAAACGACATCACGAAGGATGCAGCGCGCCTCATCTACAGTTAATGTGGGCAGTCCCTGCTCGTCCTTCCAGACAACCTCGCCTCCTTGCATGTATTCGAGCACCATAAAGATCTTTTTGCTCTGGGGATCGTCGATGACCTCTTTGAGCTGAACGACGTTTTGGTGGCTGCACTTCTTCATGATGGCGATCTCGCGTCGTACCTTTTGGTCGGTGGTCCAAAGGAGCGCTTTGCGTGCTTTCTCGCGCTCCTTCTCGCGGCGTCGCTCTGCTTCCATATCCGACTGCTCAGGGCGTTGCACATCTGGGAGCGGGGCGAATTGTGTGGAAGTTGTGCTTGAAACGACATTGACGGCGGTGGAGGCGGAGTCGGTGTCGTCATGAGGGGAGTCGGAGCCTTGCTGAGCCTGTTCATTGACATTGCTGCTCTGGGCATCTTGTCCTTGCTGGCGCTCGTTTGGTGGCGATTCAAGGCGGTGGGCGGGGCCAGAGAGTGGGAAAGAAATCTTGTGACGGTTGTTGCGGTTAAGGAGACCGAGACCAGCACCGAGACGCTTGCGAGCTTCCCTCTCTACAATCTTGACAGCCACGCGCTCGCCGGTCTCCAGATCTCTAGCCAGTCGGACTTTGCCGTGGACACCGCGGCCAAGCTCACCCTCGATGAGGTATTGGTTGACCATGCGACGACCACTGGTATGGGTTTGGATGTCAAGACGACGAGTCTCAAGTACCCGAGGTGTTTGGTGAGATCGAGTGGAGCCTGACAGATTGGGAGAGGATCGACCGGACCCAGGAGGCGAGTTGTAGGCGCTGGCGGTTGCTGAGGCGAGATGGCCGTGCTGATGCGGAAGCAAGGGCGGTGTGCTCGATGGGTCCTGAGCTGATGCTCCATGCAACCGATCTCGAACGTGTTGATTGAGGAGCTGCTGTTGGATGCGCTGGGCGTAGAGATGGAGCTCGTTGGCGGCAGAACGTGCTGGTGTGGAAGTGCCAGAGATGACTGAAGGCGAAGCTGAGGCGGGGGTGGAGCTGCGGGAAGCAGCTTCGACGCCAAGAAGCGTAGGGTCGGCTGGTTTCTGTGGTGAGAATTGGGCATTCGAGTCATAAGCGGGTGTTATCAAGATGGGCTGGGCAAGCTCCTTGGTGTCTGATGGCAAAGCAGGCGAGCTAAACAGTTGAGAGGAAGGTAGCGTCGCTTCCTTTTCGACGCTGGGGTCGACCGACGCGCCCGTTGAGGAAGCACCGACGGCACTCAAGCCTTGTCCTGCCGTGGCCATACTGAGCGAGGGATAAGCAGGACTTGGAGCAGATGTGCTGCTGCTGCGATCGGAAGAGGCTCCGTCAGAGACCGCACCTTCAACCTGGCTTGTAGCTGGAGCGTCGGATGGATTCTGTTCAGGAGCAATGGACAGTGAGGTGTCGATGGCTGAAGGAGCGGCCCATCCGATCGGCTCTTCCGCATTCTGCGATGCCATGCTTGCAATCACAAAGCTGGCTCGCTCAAGAATAGGCGCACCAGATCTCGATGCTTGTTGTCGGAGCTCCCGCAGACCTGAAGACCCGCGACACCGAGGTGAACAGAGCTGCGGATGCGATGGTGGCTTTAGTGTAGAAGCTGCATGGTATTGACTGACAAGAGGCGAAGCGTTACTGTTGCGGCTAGCGAGTGTCGGTGATGGTCGATGATCTGAAGAATGTGCTCAAAGAAAGTGCGCGAGACCAACTTGCTGCTGTGTGTTGGAAGATGCAGAAAGTGAAAGCGAGAGTGATGATGAGGTGGATGAAAGGGAGGCTACAATGTGGGCGCTTCGACAAGATCGGTCGTGTGGCTTTGCAACGAGAGCATGAGATGTGGGTGTGGAGACGGTGGAGGAGCAAGCAACCTGGAAAGAGCCGAGTGAATTCGAACAAAGCAGCAGCGAGAATTGCAAACCCAAACCGCCAGGTCGAGAAAGAGTAGAGAGGGGTGCAGCTGCCAGTCAGAAGCTCGACTGGAAAGGGTGCGCTGTTGTTGAGAAGGTGTCGGATCTGGCGACTGAGCGAGGACTTGCTCGAATTTCCCCTCCCTCTCTCTCTCGCTCTGCAAACCACACACGAAAGCTCGAGGCGAGCTTGAGCGTCGCAGGAAGCTCTCTTGCCCTGAATTGTGATTTTGATTTGTGATTTTCTGCAACATCACACACACACACACACACACACACACACACACACACACACACACATAGCACGCAACCCATACATAGAGAGCGTAAATTTGGCTCAACCTTGAAAGCTCGGGGATATCGCCCGTTTCGGCCATGGAGCAAGACTTGCTGCAACAAACAACTCACACACAAAATCGAGAAGGGCGAAACGCTCGGATCTTGTATCAAATGTTGCTTGCTTGTGAGTCGGCATCCATCCGAAGATAAGCACGTCAGCCAGACAGATAGTAAGCGCCAAGCCATCAGCTGCTTGAATGATAGCTGTGATTCTATCTTCGCTTTTCTCCGATGTTCTTGGCTCTTTCTGATCGCAAGTCAACTCGCCAGTGTACCAACGTCACTCTGCAAGAAGCTGAGACTCGGTACCATTGAAGGCTGCGCTTCGGATTTGACCGGAGATGTAAAATAGTGTCGATCAAGACGATGCCGGTAGCCATTGCAAGCTGTTCGAAAAAAGTTCGCTGCCGTCCAAGACTCGAGAAGAGAGATGCGAGTAATTGCTTCGCTCGGCTGCTCAGTACCAGAGTAGCGAGGCAGCATCGCTTGGCTGGCTGGCTGTGTGTGTGTTTGTGGGGGGGTGGAAGGTGGAAGGGGCTTGAGGCGGCTAGATCCGAAACAGATCGCGCGCAGACTGACTGCCGAACAGCAAAGGCACACAGACAGACACAGGCCAAGAAGCGTGATACGAATGATCCTGCACGTAAAGATCGGGAGTCGAATCCGAGGTGTTCCTGCAAGCTACTACGCCACGCTCTCTTTTGGATCTGGTTCTGCTGCCTAGCCTGCAAAATTGGGACAACTCTTGTGCCGATACAAAGATGTCTTTGAATATCCGGACAGCTCAATGAGGAAGCAGGTTCGTCCCTTTGGCCTGTGTGTGTCTGCCTGTGGGTTTCGGCGTGCCGTCATTTTGACGATCCTTGCATCCAATGCGTTAGCAGGCCAGATCGGGATCCTCGACGAGCTTCCGTTGATCTGCCCGATCCACTGCTCCCCGTGGCATTGCCCTCTTAGCTGCTCTGAGCATTCTTCAATGCCATGCATCAAAACCGTACAGTACAGTCCCATCATACTAAGCAAGAACACTTCAAACACTGACATGGTCTGTGGCAATGAGCTCTCTTCAAGCAAGCATGCCTCAATCATTGCAATGCATGATACTGGGCTGCCAATTTGACAAATTGCAGAGCTAAGCAGTGTTTCCAAGACAGCAGTTCACAAGACCATCCATAACTTTAAGGAGCATGGTTCCTTTGAAACAAAAGCACAATCCAGCCATCTGTGCTCCTGGACAGCTACCTCAGACCAATACCTTCAGTGTGAGGTACTCAAAAACCTGTTTCTATCATGGCAGCAGCTGTCAGCATCACTTGGCAGCATTCCAATAATGCAGCTCCAAAAAGCAGCATACCAGGCTGGTATTAACTGCCAGATTGTGCTTTGAAAGCCATTTCTGACATCCAAAAACTGGCATAAATGTCTAGAATGGGCCAAGGCTAACAGCTCCACTGGTTGGAAGCAAGTGCTGTTCAAAGACAAGGCAGCTGTCAAGGTTGGCTACCAGCCCAGATGCACATGGGTTAGTTGCTGGAAAAACACTCAAGAAGACATCAACAACATGGTTCCAACATTCCATTTTGGCCATTTCAGCATCCAGGTATGGGCTGGCATTGCATTCAACTTTAAAGCCCCATTGGTTGTGCTCCCATTGGCTCCAAGGAAGAAGCAACTGGGGTTGGGTAATCAATGGGATCCTGCCAAGAACCTCACAGCTGTCAGGTATCATGATTGGATCATTGACAGCCTGCTCCAGGATGCCATAACTGCTGTTAGTGCATACCCTGACAGCCTGTCAGTTGTCAAAGATGGCAGCAGCTGTCATCAGGCTGCTATCTGCAAGCAACAGTGGGTCAAATACAACATACAGATGCAGGAACACCCACCAGCTTTTCCAGACCTTAACCCTATTGAGAACATATGGTATGTGTTCAAAAACTTGCTTGGTAAGCATTTGCCAGTACCAAAAACCTGGGATGAACTTGCCAGAGCTGCAGAGGAGGTGTGGAACACCCAGATCATGCTTGAACATATCAAACCTGTGATCAAGTCAATGGAGCATTGCATGGAGCAAGTGCTTACTAAGCATGGAGGTCTGCTCAAGTATTAGTTGGCTCTGAGACTCACTGCAATCAAAAGCTCTTCTTCCAAGCTTGCTCACTGTGTGTTTTGCTCAGTCTGACACTTATTAGAGACCACTGTCACAGGGCCAGCAGGCCAGCGCAAGAAGGGTGTGCCAAATTGACTGATGGCATTCATGGTAATGTCACAGGATCAATGGATCAACATATGAAGGGGGTGCAAAATTGATCAGCACCAAGTCATCAGGAATTGACAAAGCTAATTGGGCTGGTAGTGCATATGATTTATGAGATTGACCAAACTCTGGGTTCCAGGTTAATCTCATGAGGATCAATCAGATCAGCATGCCTCAGCAAGTCAGCTGATACAAGCAAGTATCAGGAGATTCAGGAAGGAAGGTACTGGCTTTAGAAGGAGAAGCACACAGAGATAACCACATGTAGGAGCAGGGGACTGAGCTCAGCATCACACAGACAGTTACTGCTTGAGGGGTGCATGCATATAGCCACACAGGACCAAGCACAGGGGGCGACTGCATGACCAAGGGGTTTGGTCATGAGGTCCAACAGGTGGCTAAGGGGATTCATGAGATAAGGATGGGAAGGTGGTTGCTGGTGAAGAAAGAAGGAAGCAGTGAACAGATTGGTTAAACAAAGAGGAGGAGCTGTGTCGAAGGGGTCATCACACATCATCAAGCAGAAAGGGAGCATGAAGGCAAAAGGGCAGTGATGCATAACCATTATGCTGTGCAGATGGTAGGGGCACAGCATCAATGGGATCGACACCAGCAGGAGAGACAGTGTCAAATGGGGGATGAAGGCCCCTCAAGAGGAATGGGATAGGTGTCACAGGTGACACCAATTGAACACATAAATACTCCCATTTCACCATAGCATATGAGTGGATCCTCATCCACTCAACATGCTACTTACTTACTTACTTACTTGACTCTTAGTTTTGTACCATTGCAATAGCAGTGCTCTTGCAATGACCCTCAAATGTGTGTGTTGTATCACTGTTAGGCATCAACTGTAGGCAGTGTCTTCCAGACACTTGCAGTCCAGTTCTCAACTGTAGGCAGTGTTCTTCAACACTTGCAGTCCAGTCCCTTACTGTAGGTGGTGTTCTTCAACACTTGCAGTCCAGTCCCTTGCTGTAGGCAGTGTTGCTTGACACCTGCAGTCCAGTTAGTTATTGTAGGTGGTGACTCACACCTGCAGTCCAGTAACTCCTGTTCTCTGTAGGCAATTAACATATCACAGTCCAGATGATGTCCAAGAGCATTATCAACAGTACTGTGAACACTCATACTGTAGGGAGAGGGTATCACTCACTCTCCAACAAACAGCATATGTGCTGTGCAACCTCTGAATGGAGTGTTCAAGGTGGTCAGCCAAGACTTGCTAGTCAAAGACATCTGGTTACATTTTAAGTCAAAACATACCGAGTAGTCCTTACTCAATCAACCCCATCTATACTGAACAAATAACACCCAAAACTAGTCTCTGGCACGTGACCGCTTACAACCACTCCTCCAAGCAGATGGAAGGTATGCTATTGGACGGTTGATTTATTGTCTATTGGACCCTGTCCCCAAACTTTGGACAGGGACTGTACAGTACTGTACCACACCGTCAAATACAGACCAGCCTCCGTCACATGGTGCAATTTGCATACAGTAGCCTGTCACCGACAAGGATCCACTGTGCTGACTCGATGGACTGGGCCGTATCACTTCTGCTCTGGGTTGAGAAACGACTCTTTCTGATGATAGATGCAGAATTTGGCAACCATCTTCCAAAACAAGCAATTGGCTGAGACATCATGTCTAGGTGGGGATGAGAGGATGTCATCAGCAGTGATGATTGAGTGAGGACTGTAAGCATGTGGGAGGAAAACCTTGTTGCAAAAAGTACACAAGAACTGCTCCACCACAGCATTCCCCAAGTGGGTGCCAGGTGAGAGGTGTTGTGCATGGAACATACTGTTAAGGTCTTGCTCCACCTCAGCTAGATTCTTGCACAACTCCAAGAAGGCTGGGTTGTCATCAAAGCAATTTGATACCTCCTTGGCCCACCTGGAAAGGTGCTCCTCTGTAAGGGAGGTGTGGTCACTGAACTTCCCCATGCAAGTTGCTGCTGTTGGCACTACCTGGCCAAATCACCCAACAGGGCACAAAGGCGCATTGGACATGGTAGAGAGAAGAAGTGAATTTGGCTGGCTCAGTTGGTTGCAAGAGGGATGCTACAGACAAATTTAGAGTGAAGCTGAGAGGAAGAAGATGAAGGTCAAGGAAGATGAGGGAAAGGAAGGGCAAACCTGGGATGTGGGAATGATCTGGGCCTCTTATATGTGCCATGAAAAGCCAGCAGCAAGCAAGTCCTGCCAAAGGGAGAGCATCATTCTCTTTCCCAAGGGCAACACTGGCACCATGCCAGACTAAGCAAGGTTGATGCTTTCACCCAAGCTGTCCAGCTAGCCAGCCTGGACCACTAATCGTTGGCTGAGGTGCCAAAGGGAAGAAGAGGAGGAGAGAAGCTGAAGCTGAGCTAAACCATTGTTTTGAATTGCTCAAGCCATCCCATCCCTTTCATCAAGGTGCTGAGTCAAAGTTGCCAATGTGAAACTTGAGTTGCTGAGCCAAGTTGCCTTGGCTTCGTTGGCTGAAGTGCCAAAGGGAAGAAGAGGAGAGAAGTCGAAGCTGAAGCTGGGCCAACCCATCATAGCCAAAGTCACCATTGTGACACTTGAGTTGCTGAGTCAAGTTGCCTTGGCTTGAGACAAGGCAATGAGATGACTCAGCTGCCAGATTGACAAGAACAAGGAGTAGCCTATGGAAAAGAACAAGAGGAGGAGGCAGAAGGAGGAAGGAGGAAGGAGGAAGGAGGAAGGAGGAAGGAGGAAGGAGGAAGAATAGGCCAAACACAGACTGACTGCCTGCCTGCCTGGCATGCATGCATGTGTGTGTCCGTGTGTGCGTGCATGCATCTGTCTGTGCGTGTGTGTGTCCATCCATCCATGCATGTGTGCATGTGTGCCTGTGTTGCTTGATGTGACTTTGGAAAGAAACACACCTCCTCAATGTGACTGTGGAGAAGAATGGGAGAGGAAAAAAGGACTCAACTCAACTTGGCTTGACCGAAGCTGACATAATCCCCCATGTCACCTCCTCGGCTTTGTCAAGAACGGTTTGCTTCCCTCCAACTCCGGCTAAAGCAGGAACATTCCGGGCCTTGATTTGTCAGAAAGGGTCTCTCGGAAGTCGGGCTTGAATGTGTTCGAGATTTGACTCGAAAATTTGCCAGAAAGTGGCAGCCACTGAGCCTGCTTGAATTTCGAACCCTCTCCCTCCACCGCAATACAGGAGCGGACAACAAGAAGGGTTCTCTCGCTTTCAAACCTTCATGAACCTCGCCGTGGCCGTCAACTTACTTACGTGCTACCACAACGTCACAACCTGTTCACACAACAGGCCAGTCTCCCTTCTTCGCCATCCATACTTACAACAACAACATGAACCCCGCAGAGATCGTGCGCGCCATCCGCGCCCAAGCGGCATTGGACCAAAACCCCAACACCAACAACCAGGCTGCTGTTGCTGGATTCATGGCCTACAAGCTTTCGCAGCATCGCGATGAGATCCTACGCTCTATGAAAGCAAGTTCGTCATCTGCAGCATCGTCCTCGTCCTCGTCGTCTGCATCGCCACCTCCTGGCTGCCCCATGCATGCCAGTGGCAGTGGCTCTGCTGTGCCGTCTCAGCCAGCACCACCAAAGCCGTCGCCAATAAAGATGGTCCCTTCGTCCGGAGGCCAGTGCCCTATCCCTCACGAAAATCGCGACGCCTATCTCGCCTCTAAATCAGCAGCAAAGCATACGTCTGCCGGTGCCATGACTCCATCAACATCAGCATCCTCATCCTCATCCTCTTCCTCTTCCTCATCCTCCAAGCCATGGTCTTCGACATTGAACCCTCTCAACATGATGCCCACCCTCGGTCAGGATAAAGCACCAGAACAGCAGACGCCCCTCTCCACAGAGCGAGTCGTCTCCTCCATCCCTCGGTCGCGAAACTCGGCTGCACCCGGTGCTTCTCCATACGATGCGCCTTCCGCGTGCCCAGTCAAGCACAATGCTAGCAAGCCCTCTGAAGAGCAGACCGAAAAGTGGGAGTACCCGTCTCCACAGCAATTCTACAACGCACTTGTCCGTAAGGGCTGGGAGACTCCCGAAGAGCACGTCGAAACCATGGTCATGGTGCACAACTTCCTCAATGAACAGGCATGGCTCGAAGTGCTTGAATGGGAGAAGCTTGCAGGTGCCGACGCTTCTCGTGCCGAACTCGCTCGTTTCCAGGGCAAGCCCGGTACAAAGACACCCAAAGCAAGGTTGTTTGGAATGATGGCCAAGATCATGCCCAACACTTTCAGTTCCGAGCCACCCTTCGACCGTCACGATTGGGTCGTAAGGAGGCCAGACCAGGATGGAAAGGAGGTCAGATACGTTATCGATTACTACAGCGTTCCCGATGATCCGGACAAGGAGGATCCCGAATTCGTGCTCGACGTCCGACCTGCTCTTGACTCGTTCGAGAGTCTCAGCGTCAGATTGCAGAAGGGCTTCCAGGAGTGGAAGGAGGGCCAAGGATTCTTCTCTGCTTTCGCTGCGGAAAACATCAATGAGGCCAAACCAACTGCGTCAAACGCGTAGAGCTAGTCGCGATCGTACACGCTTTGCTCCATCACTCCATCAAGAAGTTACATTTGCCACCATTATTCCGAGATTTTCTATCCTCTCTTCTGTCTGCACGCTTGCCTGTATTTGTCCATGTATCGTCCGCATCTCAACCGCCTCTCAAACCATTTTTGTCGCATCAGACTTCGACGTTTGACGTTTTGTCAGTTCATGCTTGTGAATGCTTTTGTGATGTAGCTATCTCTATGCTTTTGTATTGTGAAGCTTGGCGATCTCATGCTTCACTGTCCTTCTTCGTTTCCTTTCGACTCCGCATGCCCCTCATTGAGATATAGCCAAACCGCATAATCGGCAATAAGACCGGAAACGATGATCCAGCCGAATGTCGTATTGGAGCAGAACTTGTGCCAGCAGTCCGGACGATCGTCCAACTTGACCGTTCGGACTTGCCAGGCAAGGTGCGATGCACCGCCTGCAAGTGCTACGCAGAAGAAGGGATGGTGATGAGCAAGCGCATCTAGCATGGGCGATACAGAAGCGAGACTGTCAAGAATGGAGGGCGACAGGACGAGGTCGCCGACCGAAGTGCTCTGGGCAGGAGCGAGTACTTCAGCTGCAGTGGTGTGCTTAGCAGCAATCGTAGGGGGGATGGCCTTCGATGCGCTGTATGTAAACAGTCCAATGGTCGCAGCTGAGAAGGCTGAAAGGACCGGCTTGGCCTTGTCTGCGAACAGCAATGCAGTCGACTTGACACCGGCATGAACGTCATCGGTCTTGTCTTGGTGTGCGTAGATTGTGTCATAGACCAAGGTCCAAAAGATGGAGCCAGCGTACAATGGCAAGACAACGGACCAGTCAACAGCACCCGCGACGGCGGACCATCCGAGCATGGCACCCCAGTTGAACGCAAAGCCCAGCACCAATTGCGGCCAGTAGGTCACGCGCTTCATGAGTGGATACAGCACGACAACGCCTAGCGAGCTTGCACCAAGGATGATGCTGTAAAGGTTCAAGTTGACCAGAACAGCGAGACCAGCACTGAGCTGTACACCAAGGAAGCAGAGAGCTTGGAACTGGCTGATGTCACCAGCAGCCAGTGGACGCGTCTTGGTGCGTTCAACCATCCGGTCCATCTTGACGTCCCACATGTCGTTGATGGTGCATCCGGCTCCACGCATGACGATGGCACCGACGCCGAACAGCAAAGTGTAGAAGAGTGGCGTGGTGAAGGGCAGGCCGAGTGTGTGCGAGGCGAGAACAATGGACCATACACCAGGCCAGTAAAGAAGCCAGGTGCCGATGGGTTTGTCGATGCGGCTCAGAGCCATGTAAGGCTTGATGCTGAATGGTTTCTTGGTTTGTGAGGTTGGTGCAGCTGCAGAGCTCCTAGTGGTAGCCTCCAAGGTGGACTTGGCGACAGCTGCCTTCGAGGCCGACGATGCAGATGCTTGCTCCGAGCTACTGCTGTAATATCTCACTTGAGACGTTGCCCTGGCAGAGGCGGAGATGGTGGGTCGTCGCGCGGATGTCGAATAGTGACGACGAGGCTCGGTCTCGTTGGCCTTCTTTTTCCTGATCTTGAGCTTGGAGTGATCTTCCTGTACATTGTCTGGCTGACCATCGCCATCTTTATCCTCAGCTTCGTGTTCAGCGCTGCTGACATGCCTGTTGTCCTTGCCGGTGTCATCTCCATCCCTATCCTCGCCTACGTCCTCCCTCTTGGAGCGGAAAGATGCCGCTTCGTGGTTACGGATGATCTTGAGTGCCTTCTTGTTCTGCTTGCCTGCTCTGGTTTCGCCTTGATCCCATTCGAGGTCGTAATCCTCAGCGACCTTCTTGATGGCCTTTCGCAGATCCTTGACCTCCTCGATGAGCTCTTGATAGCGCTCCACGTTGAACCCCTTCTTGATGTACAGCTTCTGTTGTCGCCTAGATGTAGTCTCGTTGAGTACAGCGCGGTAGGATACCTCGCGATTATGAATGAGGAACCAGATATAACCACCCAGGATGGTGCCAAGACCGGTAAGGTAGGTGACAGGCTCCATGACGTCCCAGCCAAGCTCAGTGCAGAAGGTGAGAAAGGCGACCGAGCCCCACCAGGCGCTCAGGATGGCCACACCAGCAAAGGAGAGTCGCTTGGTTCCCATGTGGGCGATGCGGTCGCACTCTGCCTTGAGCTTGACGAGCTGTTCGATTTGCTCTGTCTTGGCGTACAAGCTGGCACGAAGGAAACGTGTACGGTCCTCAAAGGAGGGGACGGTGACGTAGACGTTGCGCTCTCCGATGCGGATGACGAAGGAGCCGATACGTGCAGCGTCGCGGAGGAAGTCACCGATGCCTGTTGCAGGCGACCAGCGCTTGCCGTCAGCGGCACGAGTATGGAAGGAAATGGGGGGATCACCGAGGGGATCGACGAAGCCCTGTCGAAGCAGCGTTTCGCGCATCTCGAGTTGCTCTTGTGTCAAGGTGATACGCTTGTCCTTTCGCTCCGGTGAAGATGTTGGTCCCACTGGAATGCTGACCTTGTCCTTCTTGTCGCCTTGATCTCCGGAGGAAGCGTTTGCCTGCTGCACCTCTTGGAGCTGATACTGACTCGGCTCTGGACTCGGACCCTCGGCACGAATGAGGCTGGCAACATAGCTCAGAGGTTGTGCACTGTGGAGAAGAAAGACAACGCTATGGGCGGGCGCTTCGGCATCATATTCATCGGCTTCGATATCGGAGGGCTCGCCATTCTCGGGACCATGGAGGTTGGAATGCGCACGATGATTGACTTGCGAGACAGGTGGGCCTGGCGTCTCTGCAGCCTGTTCCCAAGGCTTGTCGGAGATGCTCTTGCGTTGCTTCTCTTCAACCTCTGATCTCTGCGGGGTGCCCTTCCGTTCTGCCCTGGCTTTGGCCGAAGAGCTCTTGGAGGAGGGGGAGGCGGGGTCAGAACTTGGCGGTTGGAGTGGAAGTGTGAGCTTGAAGAGACTGGACTTGGTGAAAGCGAGGTAGCCCTGATCGCGTTCCTTGCCGAGCTTGTTCCTATTGTGATGCTGGCTATTCTCGTCGGTTGGTGGTACTGAACTTGGATAGGTGGTCTTGACGCCAGCAGGAGTGGTAGAGTAGGTGCGGACACTAGGCTTTGGGAGCAATGCGCGAGAGGAGCGTTGGCCATTCTGAAACTGAGCACTGTCTCGATTTGAAAGTAGAAGAGCAGAAGCGCTACGCAGAGATGCTTTTGAAGAGATTCCACACAGCCGCGTTGCAACTACAAAGGGTGTCGGGAGGGTCGATGGCGCAAGTCTTGATGGGCCTGGCACAGCATTGGCTTGAAATGTATTTGAGCAGATCGCTGCTATTGTTCGCGATGCTCCTGTTGGTCGGATCATTCGAAGAGTCAAGACTGGCATGGTCGGAGCGATCAAAGCCGAGCTTCTGAAGCTCTGTCCTCAGCCAAGCTTGAAGGGCGAGGCAACGTCTATCGTCTAGATGGTGGTCGTAATGTTTGCCATGATCAAGAGATTGTCATCAAGAGCTCTGGCTTCGGAGATGAGATCGCTGCGATGTGGCTGGTGCGATGGAATGGCGCTGCAAAGTAGTCATCTTGGCTGTCAGCAGGACCCTGACCTTCTTCCAGTCACGGGCCCGTGCAGAGCGCATCCAGCGCATCGCTTAATTTTCTTGAGCCGATCAGAAGGTTCGCTCTAACATAACAGATAACAGTCTCATCCAAGAAGGGTCCAAGCCTCCACCTTGGTGTGACGTGAGAGGTTCGCTCCTGCGTTCTCGGCAAGATGATTCATCCTCTGCTTCAGGCCGTCAAGCCTGCAATCGAGCCTCTCTTGCTCGGTTGATTCTTCTACTGTTCAGCTTCAAATGAAACTGTATCCTCTAAGCACAGCCAATGTCCTTGCCGCAAACTTATTGCTTTGGCCGGCATGTCTGCTAGAAGGTTGGTAAGGCCTGTGCAGTTTCTATGCCGTGAGGCTGGAGAGAATCGACGGCTGCATAATGTTGCTCATAACTTAGCGCAGACTAGAAGACCCTCTGTCAAACATCGTCATTCCTGATCCTGATCTGAAGATCCGAAACGCTGTTTCCATCGCTTGTGTTGGTCTGTGCGTGTGGCTCTCTCCACCTCAGCCCGGCCGTATATAAACGAAGGCAGGCTCAGACTCACAACTTTCACAACGTTTCTCAACTACTCTCATATTCTTTCCTCATCTCCAACTCAGAGTCACAGCAACAATGTCGAACCAGGGTGGCACTCAGTCTCCTCCTCTCCAAGGCCGCGAGAACGACCCCATCGGTCAGGTGAGCATCGCGAGGAAGGCAACAATAGATCTGATCTTGTCGCAACACATGGCTAACCTGGAAGCTCTTTCTTTTTGCCTTGGCACCTCCAGTCGGCTCCCGGCAAGTCCTCTCAGGCTGTTCCTGACGAGCAGCAGCGTGGCGGTATCTTCGGCAGCGGCGAGAACAAGGGTAGCGAATCCGGTCAAGCTGGCGACAACAACAGCGGCGCAGGCAACCTCGAGAACGTCAGTCACAAACTACCTCATTTCAGCCTCTCGGCTCCGTACTGATGACAGCTTCTGACATCCTTGACATTCCAAATCATGCTTCTACACTCGATCACAGGCATTGAACAACGCCAAGCATGCTTCCCAGAACCAGCCCGGCAAGTAAGCGCAGCAATTTTGGTCACCAAGACGTGCCAGGATCGTCGCCGTGCAAGCTGCATAACACACGAACCAGTCAGGCGTTCTCTAATCTCTTCACTCTAGGCTACCCCAACGTGCTCGAACACCCCTGATGAATGAAAATTAAAATGTGCATTCCGAATGATGCTCAGCCAGTCTAGGCGTCGTGACGTGTACGTCTGCGTGAAGGCGTTGATGGAGCAAGTGGCTGCCATGCTGGGTAGGCATAGTGTGGAGCGTGCTGTGGATGGTAGTATGGATGCATGTCGCTGGCATGCCTGCTGCCTTGATCACGGCCCCCGGCGATTGCATGCGAAGCTGGCGCTGGGTTACTTGATGCTGCTGATTGCTGTGATCGTTGAGCACTGTGATCGGACTCTCGAGAGCGTGAACGAGTCTTGATACGGAAGAAGGAGAAGAACGAGTTGGTGGCACCTACAACAATTGAGAAACAGATGAGCGTGAAGAACATGCTCTTCCAGCTGACCGAGTCGACAAAGCCATTCAAAATTTCTGCGAATGTTTCGGCAGTTACGCGTGCAGTGCCAACAACAGCCGGATCACGAGCAGAGCATCGCTCCCAATTCTTGCAGGCATGCGCAAGTGCTGGAGCCTGCAGGTCGGTACCGCATCGATTGGCTGCGTAGGCTGTTGCGCAAGCCGTAATCTCCGAGAGCGTGTCTGTCAAATCAGAAGTGAGTGGGCCAAAAGATCATTGTCAGCGGGCTTGGCATATAAGGTAACGATCGATACGTTTCTGCACTCACCCATCTCGTATGCTCGCACTTTCTCAGCGACATCTCGTTGCACGGTGCGAAAGATACTGAACAGGAGGTAGAGGAAGGCCGAGAGGATGCTGGCATTGAATACAAGCTGTGCATAGCCCAGCAAGAGCTCTGGTTTGTCCATGTGATGCACACCCGATGGTGAGGACGCCGTTGGCTGATGCGGTATCGGTGCGACCGAGTTTGGGAGAATGTAGTTGACGGCATACTTGGTGATGGATCGCATCCGACTCGGTGTGCCTTTCCGACGGCTTACAGTCTTCTGCTGTCCATCTTCCTCCTCGTCCTCGTCTTCGTCCTCGTCATCACTTTCTTCGGTGCCGTAGCTGTCCTCGCCTTCATTCGGTGGCAACCCGCGAGACGTTGGGATGAGCTCGCGACTCTGGAGATGTGCTAGTCGCTTTCCCTTCCTGCTAAGGACGCTACGTTTACGACGGATGTGCTGCGACGGTGTTGTTTTGAAGAATGCGCTGTTAGAACGAGCTTCGATGTTGGTCATTGAGTCGTCCGCTAGCTCGTCGGCCTGGTGTGTGACGTGTGCACGAAGGTTAGTGACTTTGTTGGAAGGTGGAGTTAGACTCGACATCTCTACATCGGTCATGTCCATGTCCATCGGAAGCTGTGAAGTGGAAGGTTGACTTGACCATTGTTGAGTCCCATTGCTATCAAATATGCTGGCTACTCGAGCGAGAACAAAGAGAAGAAAATGAATCATGGTTGAGGTGGCAGGTCAGTATCAAGCTCATGCGGTTATGTGTGGCACAGGATTGCTGCATTACGTACGTGGAGGAGGCCCTGGAGGCGAGGTGTCCATCGGTGCTTCAGTACCTCTTTGCCAAAGCATGCTTGTTGCGCGCTCCGTAGTGAGCAGTTGCAAGAGGAGTTGGGTGTCGAATGCTGAGCGACAAGGTGTGAACAAGCTTGAGTTTTCTTGTGTTCAACAAGCTTTCAGGGTCGCGTGTGTGTCGAGTGTTGGTCCCTCTGCAAGCGAGAATTTGTCAAAACCAAAAGACTGCCTCGATCTAACAAGCTTCTTCTGAGAATCTCCACATGGTGATGGAAGCCTTGATGTCGCTCCTAACACAAACGTTGCTTTCAGAGACACTCTCCCTCACTTATGTTGGCCAACTTTGTCCAGCCTATACTTGACTCTCGCCACAGATCTTTTCAAAGACGAAGAGGGCTCAAGCATGCTGTTGAGCTCTTGACGATTCAGCTGTCAACGTGACCGCTTGGAGGCTGCACTGCCTTCGCTCGACGAGGAGCATTTCCCACTGGCGCTTTACTCGTGAGCATGTCCCTCAAACCTCTCACTCCACCGCTCCGCTTCTCTACGGTGGCATTCTCCTGTGTCGACGATCCGTCCAACACGGAAGATGACCCTCGTTTACACTCACATCATCGCGAATCCGTCTACCGCGGAGCATACCCAAAAACTCGCAATCTATACTTTCTCTCGCGGCTGCATCTTCGCACCGTCCTCAGTCTCACGCCAAGACCTCTCGACAACGATGCGGCTCTTCTTGCGTGGTCCTCGCAGAGCGGTCCATCCTCTTTATTGTCTACATCAACGACACCTGTAGCAGAAAGGGCAGCTCAGATGGGCATCAAGCTGCTTCACGTGCGATCTGAAAAGCCAAAGGACGAAAGCGGTGGTCTCACTCGCGAAGGAGCAGCGAGAGCGCTTTCCATCTTGCTCGACCGTCGCAATCACCCCATCTACGTGCACTGTCTGGATGGCGTCGAAGTGACCAGCACGCTGGTGGCTTGCATGCGCAAGGTGCAGGCATGGTCGAATCCGGCAATTCTGGCAGAGCTGGGGAGAGCTTTGCGGGACTCCAACTCTTCTGAATGGACAGAAGTGCCGTCGCACTTGTCGTCATTCCTCAACAAGTTCGCTCAACCTGATGGCATTCGTCTGCCTCCACGTAATCATATTCCATCTTGGCTGTGGCCTGCTCCGAATCCGCTTTCAATTCTGGCTAATCCATACGCTTGGGCAGTGACCTCACACATTCATAACCTTGCCAATGGAAACAATCAGAATGGGGCGGGTTCGAGCAGCAACTCTATCGTCGAAGGTTCCATGTCGAGGAACACCTCACTGCCTCCTTCGTCTGAACAGAACGACAATATTGCTCTACCACCGAGAGTCTCTCCGCAACCATCTATACATCCCCACTTGCATCGCAATCGACAACTTCCAATCCACCATCCAACCCTAAAGCTGCACTTCGAGATTGACCCAGACCTTCCGCCCGGGCCCAGCCCTCCACTAGCATCAACTTCAAGCTTGGCAGCTTCAACCTCGTTACAACGGCCAATGACCCCCTCCCGGTCACTCCATCTCCACTCCCGTACGTCATCGCATAACAGCAATGCCAGTCTACGCACGCCTCCACACTCACGGCCTACAAGCCGAGCAGGCCGACCTTCTACCGGCAGCGCCCATCCACTAGCCAGCAGATCGGCTTTACTAGCTCCAGACGAAGACAGAGTAGCTTCGAATGTTGCAAGAAGGGCCACCAGCGTTGCGAAAGACAGCACGACCTCTTCACTCATCAGCCCAAGCCCCGCTTCCGCGGCTCTAAGAGCACCTGCAAGCGTCGTACCTTCAGTCGCTGCATTCCTCGAAGACCAAGTACAAGACCAGGACGCAGCTAGCTCTTCATCCGACTTCGCTAGTCAAGGTGCGACTGAGTCCCCAACTCGACGTACTCGATCCAATCTCGGCCTCATAAACAGTATTGACTTGTCTCCTCGAGGAGACTCGCCATTCAGCCCAGATCAAGTCAGGTTCATAACAGACAAAGCTCTGTCCAGCCGCACTGGCAATGTAGCAGACGTTGATGAAATTGACGTGAGCACTCCTCGTGCTCGCCCCACCACCCATAACAACTTCAATATCGGAATCGCAGGCACCATCTTTCACCATGATGACGATATCACCGATCATGAAGGTCATTCGTCCATTAACTATAAGGCGGCTTCTATAAGGTCGAGTGGCTTATTCAGCAGAGGTGATACAAGTAGTGCTAGAATGGCCGTGCCGTTGGAGAAGCGGAGGATGCAGCTGGCGCTGGATGAAGCCGACGGAGAACAGACGCCGACAAAGGCAAACGCTTTGGCTAGGAAACAGACTCTTCAAACCAACGAACAGGGTCTGACAGCAGATCTCTCAACTCAGGCTTGGATCGTACGAGATAAACAAGACAAGGAGGAGTCCGAGACACGAGCTGCACAAGCTGAAGTGCAGACACTTCCGGAAAAGGCCGGCGGTACAGCTGAAGCAGTTTTCGCTAAGGACCGATACACGGAACAGGTGACGGACGAACCAGAAGAGACTGACTCTGTTGGCCAAGTTGAAGAGAGATCTGACGGAGACCAGGCTGAGAACGCAGATGAACAAGCTGAAGCAGAAGAAGACGAAGGGGGAGTGAGACAAGCTGACGAAGAGGACGAAGACGAGGAAGAAGAAGACGAGGAGGAAGAAGACGAGGAAGAAGAGGACGACGACGAGGATGAAGAAGAAGAGGACGACGACGAGGATGAAGAAGAAGAGGACGACGACGAGGATGAAGACGATCTCGCGCTGGAAGCGTTGGATTTGGAAGGCTATTGAACCTCCCACGCTCGCTATTGCTGCCGTTACCTCACGGAATCTAAGTTCAGACACCTAGGCAAGCTTTGATATATGATGCAATTGCTGCGATTGCGAGACGAAGAAAGTCAACGAAGAGAGCAAGTCTTTGCGTTAGAATCTACAGGGTGGTATCGTCGCCAGCTGTATTTGTGCTGGCATTCTCTCCAGCCGCTGCATCTCCAGAAGCATTCGCCCCTGCAGCATCGGCCGGCTTCTTCCCGTCTCTGCCCTTTTTGCTGCCCAAGGTCAACTTCTTTGGCTTTGCCTCTACGCCTCCGGTCCCGGATGGAGCCATCGGAATACCGCCCGGTCCGCCGCCACCGAACATCGCCTTCCACGTAGCATGATCTCTCCTCCGCCTGACCCTCTCGGCTTCCAACACACCGCCGGTTTTCCTCAGCACCTTCTTGTCCACGAATCCAGCCAACTCTTCGCTGAACTCGTCATTTGTCTTTGATGCGAGTAGATCCTTCTGTCTCTGTCTCTCCGCTGCTTGCAACGCACGAAGCCGTTTCTCATGATTTACCGCCTGAGATTTGACTTCCATCATCACTGTCGATAAGCCCCCGTGTCCCTCTTCTGGCAACGGCGGAATATACTTCCCGCCTTTCCCACTACCTCCTCTCAGTTTGACCACCTGCTGAATGTTGCTGAACACCTCCTTCAACGCGCCCAGATCATCCCGAAGATCTGACAACAAGCCCTCTTCGTGGTTGAGGAACTCTTGCTCGTCCACAATGTTCTGCAGCTCTGACTCCCAGGTCTTCTTCCAGCTCGGCTTGACGGTTTGCACGTATCCTTCGAGCTCCAAAAGACCATTGGTTGCTCTATCGACATCTTCAACGATCTGCTTGACCAGCACGGGTCTTGGCTTGACACCACGCTGGATCACATCGACACGAAGATCGTCCACCGTGTCTTGGAGGTCTTCGATGAGCGTGAGGAGGTCCTGCGACTGGGTGTCAAGACGAGCTTTACCAGCGACGATGAAGTTGCGCTCAGCGGCAACTTTGGTGGATGCAATAGCACGGACTTTGCCTGCCTGCTCACGAACAGTAGAGAGGATCGACTTGACATCGCCTTCGAAGTCTGTCTGCAGCTGTCGAGTGACAGCGAATTCGCGTCGGAGATTCTGCAGCTCATCAAATTGGACCTTGAGCTCGTGGGCGATGCGAGATCCCGCCATTGCTGAGGATCCCGTAGGGGCAAGAGCGCCACTTGAGCTTCCGTCTTGAGGCAACGTTGCGGCAGGGTCTTCACTCTGCGCACCAGCAGTTCGAGTATTCGCTCTCTTGAGCTGGGCAACCCGCTGCCCGGCAGCTTGGAATTGTGAATCGCTGATCTTTGTCGGTGTAGCATGCGCTGCTGGCGCCGTCAGCAAGTTGTCATTGTTGGCAAACGACATCCTCCTCATATCTCGATCGCGCTCAGCCAACGCAGCCTTCAATTCCCGGATCTCACGCGAGATGGTACCCAGTGACAGGTCCAGGTGCTGCTTGACCTGGTCAAGCGGCTCAATGTTGAGTGTGAGCAAGCTCCCTTCCTGAACATCACCGAGATCTTCAAGCTCATAGGTGACGCCGCTTGCAGGATCCTTAAGATAGATGGTAGGGAAGTCATCCATACCAGGCGAGTAAGCAAAGCGGTCGATAAAGAGCATGCGGAGTCTGGCAACGCTGATACCGCGTGTGACGGAATTGGAGGGATCGAGGTCAATGACTGCTTTTCTGGTTTGACGACCAAGCTGAAGGAAGACATTGAGTGACGTCGCTGTCTTGCTGGAGCGACTACGCGGCGTTGCGGCAGGTTGAGGGGTCAACGCGACGCCAGGCTCGGTTGCAGAGGCAGCGTTCTTCGTAGTCTCCGGAGCATCGCCGAGCTCTGATGGAGGTGCCTGCGCGTCAACAAAGGGCAACGAGTCAGTTGAGCTGACAGCTTGTGATGTTACGCGTTGTCCAGGCGGTGTTGGCGAGAGCAGATCGTTCGACCCTCTGTGCGCAGCAGCAATCGCAGTGCTGTCAGTCGCCAGCTTTTCCGAAGCCATGCTGCTTGGCTCAGGCGAAGGTGAGCGACCCTCACGACTGAAAGTGGACGATGTGGGTGTTTTGACTTCTTCAATTGACTCGAAGCGAGTGTCGACTGTGGCAGAGCTTTTAGCACGAGGCAGTGGACGTGCATTAGAACTGATGCTGCTGCTACTTCCTGAAGAGCCAAAGTAATCTGTTGTGGTTCGTGCGAGAGCTGATGGACTGTTGGCGCCTTCGAGCGCTGGACTTGCCTCGGGAAGAGGTGGACGTATGACCCGACGAGCTCCACTTCCACGTCGCTCGGTCGACTTGCGTTCGGCCAAGGGACTGCCTGCACCTCCGCTACCAGGCGGATACATATTCATGCCCAGACCTTGACTATAACTCTGGCCGATGCCCATCTTGTTGAAAGTGTAAGCGCTGAATCGCTTACTAGCTCGACGTTCTAGCGCGTCACGGTTCTTTAACGCTCTCAGGCTCGGATCGTGCTCGGTAAAGTCGGCAGTGTCGACGGAAGACTTGGGAGTATGTCGTGCTGATTTGGTGCTGAGTCGCTTGGGGGTCATGCCGTTGAGTGGACCAGGCTGGTCGGACAGACGCTCTTTGTCGCCCGATTCGGTATCGTTGTTGGATGTAGCTGGAGTAGGATCGTCAATGAGAGTGTGCCGTTCTACGTTTGGCATTTGTGGCGTCACCTGACCTGATTCGGTTTCGAAAGCATCCGACGATGACAGAGCAAACTGTGGCAGAGCGGGTGATTGTTGCTCGCCGCTTCTTTTACTGGGTGACTTGTCACTGGGAGTGCGTGACACTCGACTGGGTGGACGAACGATGCTGCTTCGGCCGACTGGAGCATTTGCCGGCGGTGTGGCGGAGGTGTCAGCAGTCTCGTCTTCGACGTGCGTTGGTAGAGAAGCGCGATCCGAATGCAAAGCTGCACCTGCCGAGCTGGCACGTTGAAGAGACTCTGGTCGTTGCAAAGATGCTGCTGAGGAACCTGCATCGGTGGTGCCTTGCTGTTCTAGTGTCGTTGCGGCTGCAGCACTTTCACTGAAACCTTGTCGAGAGGCTCGCGGTCCCAGCACGCGGTTAGATGTGGGCTGAGGTTGCTGCGATGACGGTGGTGTAGACGGGACAGCAGCATTGGGCAAATTACTTGACCTATTCGCTTCCTTCGCTGCACGCTGCTGTACCAACAACTGTTTGTACTCGGCTTGCTTCATCTTGAGACCTTGCAGAAGGTTGATGATGATCTCGCGAATGCGTGGAAGGTGAATCTCGAGCACCGACGGTGAGGCTTCTTCCGACAGACAGCGCTCCAAACAGTCTCGCAGGTCATCAGGGACCGAGTTGAGATCGTTCATGTCGATACCGTAGGAGCCAAAAGCGAGCTTAGCAGAGTTGAAGTCGTTACCGAGTCGAACATAGATGTCGGATACATCCTCCTCGCTGCGCTGCCCGATGGACCATTTGGTGAGCGATTCGAGCAGCATCTTTGTCGCGACCAGCAGACGAGTCACAGATGACTCCATATGGCTTGACGAGTACTTGGCAAGCGAGTCCTGAGCGATGCTGGATCCGATAACGGGCACTGGGCTAGGTGCATTCACCGACGACTGGCTCGTCTGTCGCTCTCGGCGTTCCCGTTCTCGCTCTACCTGCCTCTGCTTCTCACGGGCACGCATCTCTTCCGGTAGCTGAGCTGGCGAGCGTGCGTACTGGCTGCCACCTGGACTATTCCATCCTGCTCCGGATGCGAGAGCTGAAGTCGATCCTGCGCTATCTTGTCTTGACATGTAGATGGAGCCGTGTGAGCTCGACTCGTAGGAAGGCGAGCCGGATCCCTCTTGTGCATAGACGTGCTGTGGATGGCGGATGCGGTCTGCTGTGACGTGCTGGCTCGAATTGGAAAGGCGGTTGGTGGTTCGGTCTCCTGAGCCTTTGCGGCTGTTGATGAGGTTGGAGAACATGGTCTCGGTCCATCCCAACGCGGCGCTCCGATGCCACGTTGCCCTGCACGGCCTGTCCTTTCACTGGATCAAGTCGAAGCGGCAGGAGCCTTCGAGACGGGGCGGTCAGGCTGTGAATGGTAGTGGACGGAGGGTTAGGTTGGTCGTGTGAGTGAACGTTCAGGTTACGACGGTTGTGTGAGTCCACACAGTGTCAGGGTCGTTCGAGTTGCAGCTGACAGCTTCACGCCAAGTCACTCGCAGCAGCGTCATGAACACCTGTGGTCCAAGCGTGTTAGCTCTCAGACATAAAGACTGACGTGAATCTGATTCCCGATCTGCCCGATATCTGTTCAGACTAAAAGATCCAAAATCAAAACTCGATATTTTCTTCTGATGCACGTGACATGGTGTGCGCATCTGAGCTGGACCGCACACATCGCAACCCGCTCGATTGGCTTCGTTTGCTTTGTTTTGCTCCTCACTCCTCTCGCCTTCCCACGATCACCTTCCCACCGTCACCTTCCCACCATCACCTTCTCATTTCGGCAAGTGTCGCTTCAAGATCAACCTTGCCAATCTTTCTTGTCTTTTCATCTCGGCAGGTATTGCTTGCAAGCTTTCTCATTCTCTTCAGGCATGACAGCCTCACAGACCTGCTCTTCCTGCAGCCTATCACTCCTTTATCAGCCTGCGCAACTGCCCTTGTGTGCGCTGCACTGCTTGCCAACACACCCAGCCAGCGCTGTGCCAGCGGCCGTGTGCCTGAAACCCGGAATCTATTGGAAAAGCTGTTTCTGAATGATTTCAGTGAAACCTATCGAGTAAGGTCCTTCTGAACAATTTCAGTGAGATGTAGCAGAAGACTGACTTTTGATGGGTTTTGACTAACCACTGTGAACACTCTGTTCAGAGGTGGTGTGGAACATTCAATGTTCTGAAGTTTGGTTGTTCTTGAAGTATGATAAGACCCCATCTGTTCTAACACAAGTGTTTGTAATGCTAACAGACATGTGAGAAGTGTCTGGACCGCAATGGAGTTACTGCCTATGGATAGATTGAGCTAGACTGCAGTAGAGATACTGCCTATGGATGGATTTGGTTGACAAGCCGGACCACAGTAGAGGTACTGTGTCATAGGACCAGATGGATGTGCAGGAAAAACTGGAGTCAGATGAAGTGACCATGTGCAACAATTGTAGATCAGGCTATGTGAGGGTTCTGGCAGAGCTCAGTGAGATCAGTAAGATCAATGGCTCTATGGCAGAACTTGTCAAGATATGTGGTAGTGAGGCTTTACTACAGAATCCAGTGGGATAAGTAGCATCAGGCTTGTATGACAGATCTCATGGAGACCAATTAGAAGATGCTTCTATTGGCAATCCCAAATCAAGGGGACACCAGACAAGGCACAGGTTGCCACCTGATGAGGTAGGGGCCCTACATGACAATGGAATGGGTGCAAGGAGGTGGGCACTAACATCAAGGGGGCAAGATGAATAAGGAGGAGGGGCACTACCACTGGGATGAAGTGGGATAACCCCTATCAGACAATGAAGGTGCACAACAATAGTCTCCTCATCCACAAGGAGCAGGAGAAGCAGCACTCAAAGAGGAGGTACACCTCCTGATATAGCAGGAGCAGAGTTGCAGGTGACTTGGTGAGAGGAACAGATATAAGGCATGCATTCCAGTCATGATAGTCAAGTGGATCCCCATCCACACTACACCATATATTACTAGTTATAGCTTTCACATAAGTATACATTAGTATTCCATCAACAGTTGCAATTGCAGAGCATTGTTTCTAATGTAGCACATGTGTTGTATCACCACTCATTGACATCGTCTGGAGGCAGTTCATTCTGCAGTCCGGATATCGATTGACACTGAAGGCGGTGTCATGGGGCTGGATGCACAAGAAGCAGGAAGATCTGTCAACTCATATGAAGGGAGTGCAGGAATCAAGGAATTGGGCAGATTGTAGGATTTGCAGCAGAATTCATTGAGATCTGTAGTAGAAACAGTTCTATGACAGATCCCATCAAGATCTGCACAAACAAGGATAGTATCATGAATTCTGCCAAGATCAGTAGTAGAAGAGATTGTATGGCAGATTCTGCAGAGATCAGTGGCAAGGATGATTGTATGACATTTTCACATATGAGGAGGACCAAGCTCTGCCAAGGACAGGGACTGAGCCCAGAGGCATGCAGCTGGTTACCACTCAGGGGTTCACAAGATGAGAGTCAGGAGAACAGTTGCTGGTTAGGAGGAAGGGGAGCTGTGTCACTAACACCAGCATATGGGTCATGAGGAGGAAGAGCTGTGTCAAGGAGGTTGACACACAGCTCAAGAAAGACAGGAGCAGTGCTACAGGGACCCTGTATAGTACTCGACGAAGAAGGTACTCTCTGGAGAGAGAGAGAGCTGGAGCAGTGTTGCAGGTGACACTGCAAAGGATGTGTCATGGGCCTAGATGCTCAAGAAGCAGGAGGGTCACTGATTCATATGGAAGGAGCACAGGTATCGAAGGGACCTAGTCGATACCAGTAGAGAGCATGGTCGTAGTGCAGTCTCCATGGAGACCATGGACTCCTATGGACTCACATGCAAAGGAGGACTGAGCCATATGCGAGGAAGGCCAGGCACAGCCACAAGGAGGACCAAGCTCAAGGAGCAGGCACAGCCACAAAGGGGACCAAGCTCAAGGAGCATGCAGATGGTTACCACTCAGGGGCTCGAGAGACAAGAGTCCAAGGAACTGTCACCAGTCAAAGGAGAAGGAGCAGTGTATAGGACACTGGCAAGCAGGTCCTGAGGAGGAGGAGCAGTGTCGAAGGAGTCAACACCACTCAGGAGGCACAGGGGTGCCAAACAAGCAGCAGGATAGCAAGGAGGAGGAGCAGTGTCAAAGGAGTCGACACAGCTCAAGAGGCACAGGGGTGCCAAGCAGGAGAGGCCCCTGAACAGTACTCAATGAAGAAGGTACTCTCTGGAGAGAGAGCAGGAGCAGTGTCGCTGGCGATGCTGTGAAGAGGTATATAACCATACTTTCTCATCATCAAAGGTCAAGTGGATCCTCATCCACTCTACACACCCATCATAACTAGTTATCACTTCAGCATAAGTATATATTAGTTTCAGTCAGCATAGCAGCAATCTATCAAGGTTGCTCCTCATCATAGTGCATGTGTTGTATCACCACTACCTGACATCCGAAGGCACCCATAGCAGGTTAGTGGTCCGGATATAGATAGAACCGAAGGCAGTAGTCCACTGCAGTCTGGGGATCACCTCAAGCATCAGTCAACACACTGGACACTCGTGTTGCCACCACCAACCTTATCACCAACACCATCAACCTCATCATCATCAACACTCACACCAGACCTTGGTGTCATCATAACCTATGCATTGATATTGATCATGCCGAGCTACCCCTGAATGGAGTGTCCACAGAGGTCAGCTGAAACCTATGATAGTATATACAATGAATGCCACCTGCTGTCACTGTGCAACTTGATAGTTGCCAAACAACTAGCTCGTCGAGACAGATACCGAGACAATAGCTGTCACACAGTTTGATAGTCACCGAGTATCTCGACAGACTGACCTGGGTTTCAGGCGCGAGACCCCTGACATCCTCCTCCTGATCAAGAACGTAGTGTTCTGTCCTGCTCTTGTTGTATGGATCCACCCTGGACTTGACATATCTTGGCCTGGTGGGTGAAGCATACTTCTCATAATTGACGTCATCCTGCTCATCCAGGTTGACGAATGAGACTGATTGTCTTGGTCGTGGAGCCAGAGTAGGAGTATGGGGGTCTCCTATCATAGACTCATCTCCTCCTCCTGCTTGGTCCTCTGAGTGAGAGAGGTCAATCATCTCCTCTCTGCTCAGGTGAGCTCGTTGTAATCATTCCTCCCGTTGATCCTGCCTGGTAAGCTCTAGCTGTGCTTCCAATAGAGTGAGTAGTCTATCAAGCTTATTGTTGAGGTCTGGGTCCATCATGGTGATCATGAGGAGCTGCTTGAACGATCCACTCTAATGTCAGGGGTCTTGCGCCTGAAACCCAGGTCGGTCTGTCGAGATACTCGGTGACTATCAAACTGTGCGACAGCTATTGTCTCGGTATCGGTCTTGATGAGTTAGTTGCTCAGTGACTATCAAGTTGTGCAATGGGTGGCATTCAGGTATATACTATTGTAGGTTTCGGCTGACCTCTGTGGACACTCCATTCAGGGGTAGCTCGGCATGATCAATATCAATGCATAGGTTATGATGACACCAAGGTCTGGTGTGAGTGTTGATGATGATGAGGTTGATGGTGTTGGTGATAAGGTTGGTGAATGTCAATGATAATGAGGTTGATGGTGTTGGTGATGAGGTTGGTGGTGTCAACATGAGTGTCCAGTGTGTTGACTTGATGCTTGAAGTGATCCCCAGACTGCAGTGGACTACTGCCTTTGGTTCTATCTATATCCGGACTGCTAACCTGCTATGGGTGCCTTTGGACATCAGGTAGTGGTGATACAACACATGCACTATGATGAGGAGCAACCTTGATAGATTGCTGCTATGCTGACTGAAACTAATATATACTTATGCTGAAGTGATAACTAGTTATGATGGGTGTGTAGAGTGGATGAGGATCCACTTGACCTTTGATGATGAGAAAGTATGGTTATATACCTCTTCACAGCATCGCCAGCGACACTGCTCCTGCTCTCTCTCCAGAGAGTACCTTCTTCATTGAGTACTGTTCAGGGGCCTCTCCTGCTTGGCACCCCTGTGCCTCTTGAGCTGTGTCGACTCCTTTGACACTGCTCCTCCTCCTTGCTATCCTGCTGCTTGTTTGGCACCCCTGTGCCTCCTGAGTGGTGTTGACTCCTTCGACACTGCTCCTCCTCCTCATGACCTGGTGTCAACTCCTTCAACGCTGCTCCTCCTCCTCAGGACCTGCTTGCCAGTGTCCTATACACTGCTCCTTCTCCTTTGACTGGTGACAGTTCCTTGG